AAATTTTGTTTTTGTACTCTCGTCAACTTCAGTATCCCAAGAAATTCCTGTTTTCATAGGTTCTGCAACAATATTTTAGGATACAAGAGAAAGGACTCTCAATACCAATAGGATCAATATTTGTGTGTTACAGCGAGAATTGTTCTCTTCGTTATTATACCCATTTCAAAATCTTCTAGCCAATTCAGATTCAAAGTTAAATTATCTTTCTGAGAGTTCCATAACAGACCCAATATGGGTGAAATAGTTTCATGTTTCAAGTTATCTCCGTTATGTAACCAACCTCGAAGATTAAACTTTCCTTCATACATTATTTCTCGAGATTTTTCGATGAACTGGATCATCTCGGATTTTTTGTCAAAACTGGCAACAACGTTATCTACGTAGAAGCTACGCAAGAGTTTAGCTATCATCTCCGTATCATATGAAGAATTTTTCATGTATTTTTGTAGATGGAATTCTATAACAGCTGCCAAAAGGAAAGGACTACTCTTAACCCCAAATACTACCCTAGTATGACGAAATATTTTCGTTTTCCTTTCTTCCACATCATTCCACCAGAAAAACCGAAGCCAGTCTCTATCTTGAGGCCTTACACTGATCTGTAAGAAAGCCTTTTCAGTGTCTGCTATAGCAGCAAACTTGCCTTCCCGAAATCTCAATAAAAGAGATGGAATTAGTTCTATCAAATTTGGTCCACACTCCAAACACTGATTTAGAGAAGGAGACGATTGTTTCCTCGCAGACGCATCAAACACCGGTCGAATTGGTGTTGAGCTATTTTCTTTGATCACCGGTCTATGCGGTAAATAATGTCCATAGTCAACCGCAATATTTTCTTTAACTTCTTCGATCACTCCTAAGTTACACCAGTCATTAAAAATTGCATTGTATGGAGAAAATAAATTTTGAGATAAAAGTTTCTGGGTGGTAGATTGTAGACGTTTTAACGCTAAATCCTTGTGGGTGGAGAGGGGTACATGATTCTCCGCCCACGGAAGTGCGACTTCATAACGCCCTTCTTCGTTTAGAGATACAGAATTTTCGAAATGCAATTTTGCTTGCAAATCCCTTTCCTCTCTAGCCTTTTTTGTAACTGGATCTGTTATTCCGATAACATCAAGCCTCCACAGTTCTGACAGCGTGGCATCAGAAATATGTAAAGATAACGAAAGCGTGGAAAAGGAATTTTCTATTTCACAATTGTCAGTGTTCGCTTTCCCCATGACTGTCCACCCAAGTCTTGTACTTACAGCAACTAATCTTCCCAAGGAGGAACTTCGATTTTACCTGTAAATAAATTTGCAGCAACATCTGCCCCTAACAACAAATGAATCTCTTGGGGGTTCTCCTGAAATAATCTGCAATTTTCAAAAACATCACTGACGTAAATTCCTCTTCTTCTAAGTTCCCTAATCCAGTGTATATTTTTGATTTTAGGGACCGAAGAACATATTTTTCTTTCATCCAATACATTGATTTCGCAATTATACCGTTTATCTACGCTACCCAATTTTATTCTATAACGTTTATGTTTTTCCGAAACTTCTATGCCACCGAAAAGTCCGTGGGTTACACTTTGTTCACCTAAGCTTCTTAATTGTAACCTTTCTGCTGCATACCTGCATTATGTATGAGTTTTGACTTCCGGTGTCAATTATCGCTCGAACAAATTGGTTATTCCCTCTTCCATATATGCGAACAATTAAAGTTTTACAAATATACTTCTGAACATCCTGCTTGATTTGAAAGTACTTTATTTTCTATCTGTTCGTCTTTTTTAATTTCCGAAACCTCGACAGAAGGATTTTGTTTATTACACATAATAGTTGCATGTTGTTTTTTACAAATAGAACAAGTTATTTTTGTTCTGCAGTTTTGAGCCAAATGGTGTAATTTTAGGCATTTATAGCAAGCACATTTTCTTTTTAAAATGTCCCTTTTTTCTTGTAATGATAAGCCGGAAACGAAACTACAGTCATAAGTCTTGTGAAATTGATTACAGAAGACGCAGTTCATATTTTCCTCTCTGCATTCGGATTTTGTAAACAAATCTGTAGCGGTCGGAATCTTTGGTTTATTATGTCTATTTGAGAGACCATATGCGCTTTTCGTTGCAGGGGGGGAAGAAGACTGTCGCCGATCGGATACTTTTTGCTGTTGCGAAACCGTTGACCTCGTGCGTTCACGGGATGAAAGTTCTGCGTGTAAAAATGACATTAAATCTTTTATGTTATAATCGGTGCCAACATTTTGTGTTCTATTGAAATTCAAGCGTTAATTCTGAAGGCAATAACTTCAAAATCATCAGACACAGCAAAGCGCTGTAAGATTCGTTTTCGATACAACATCTAACGTTTCGAGACATCTAATCTGTGTTTGTACTTTATCATACAAGTTACGAAATGTTTTATGTCATTCGCATTTTTTAATGATTCAATATTCAGCAAATTATTCATGTGCGCATTAATAAGAATGTCTCTCCTTCCAAAACGGTCGTGTAAGATTTGAATTGCTGAATCATAATGTTTCGGCGATAACGGAAGTCCTTGAACGCAACTAGCAGCTGTTCCTCCTGAATATGCTTTCAGGGTAATTAAATTTGTCTACTTTGTTCAATGATTCGTTATTATGTATTGAGGACTCAAAACTATTTCCAAAAAGTAAGCCATTGACTACTGTTCCCATAAAATACGGGAATCGAAAGTTTTGGTAATTTAACATTAGGTGTATCTTTTATATTTTGCTGAGTGTTCGCATTTAAGTCATTATCCTGGACCGAAACTACTGAAATTTCGCACTAGTCATGATTAAGTTCCTTAATCGTTTCTGAATTTCGTTTAAGCCTGAATTTCCATAACGTTATCATCTCGCGATATTGTTTCTGTAATTTCGAATTCATTTTCGAATTCATCTACACTCAGAATTGGTTCAACTTCCACATCGGCATTAGATAGCGTTTCGGTTTTAGCATTAAGCTGTTCTAACAATTCTTCGAGCTCATTAATACTACCTTCAGATTTATTTAATTCACTTTCGATTTTCTTAAATAGTTTTGTAACGGCAGTTCTTTAGTTCTAGGATCTTCTACGATTTTTTTTTAATTTTCTACTTCTTTTTTTATTATCTTTCTTTTTTACACAAAAAATATACGTCTCATGAAAAACAAATATTTTAACTCTTACTTAGAAACAAAAAAATTATTCTTTGCTGAATACTTCAAGAACAAGTATTAAAATCTTCAATTTTAATATTCAGCTTTTGAATTCACTTTTATTAGAACTTTTCAAAAAACCTGGCGTCCCTGTTCGGGGCGCCATAGAAATGTTGCATCAGGTTCTTCTATTTACAATAAAATTAATGTAAAATTCCTTACCTGCTGCATCTTCAGTGTTCACGACGCCAGGCTTCTAATAATCACGTTTTCAGTAAGAGTTTCTATTACTGCTAACAAGCCATCTTGTCTTTTAATTATTTATTCAAAGAAAACGCTAATATACACTATTTACAAGGTAGGTGATAATTATTTTAAGACAGTACATTTTTAATTCTGAGTCTTTACGCTCCTCAGAGCGGTTCCAATCTCGACTGGTTCTCGAAACTTAATTACAGCAAAAGTAAAGGAAGAGACGCCCGCCACCTAGTGGCAAGAATGTGACAAAATGGAAGCCACATTAATGGAAAGCCACTTCTACCATCTAAATTTATTTATTATTAGTTAATAATACTTTCAAATTTCAGGCAATTTTCTCTGGCATAATCCTGAAACTATTTCTAGCACTATGATGACATACTATCACGAAATTTAAGTTTTTTTTTTTTTTTTTTGTTTTTCTTTTTTTTTTTTTTTTTTTTTTTTTTTTTTTTTTTCTTTTTTTTTTTTTTTTTTTTTTCTTTTTTTTCTTTTTTTTTTTCTTTTTTTTTTTTTTTTTTTTTTTTTTTTTTTTCTTTTTTTTTTTTTTTTTTTTTTTTGACATATTTTTGCTGATGTTACGCTGTTAAATAAATATAAAATACCTGAATTTATTTTGAAATATCATTAAATAGATTTCTTTTGTTTAGCTACAAAATATCTGCAAAAAAAGAAATTTTTTAATCCAGATTGGGCAGATTTTAATCTCAATATATATGTTTGTGTGTTTAAGTCGTATGTAATTGGCAAATTTTTGTGTTTTCAGGTGGTACCATAATTAATTCACCTCTCAGAACAGCCAGTATGCACTATGCATATAGACTGGAATTTTCTTTAAAAACATTTGGAAAATCTGGAAAAGTCAGTGAATTTCATTCTCCTGTTTGAATGGCAAACCTGTGTTTTTTTTTTTTTTTTTTTTTTTTTTTTTTGAATTGATAGCAGACATATTAAGTTTGAAAGTAAAATTGGTACTTCCTGATTATCCACATCTCCACTGAAAATTGTGAGAAAGTACTCACAAGCCAAAGCAGAATGTCACCAAAATAGCTATGTGACGACCCAGTATGAGCATAATACATCTGTTTTGGCTGGTGTGCAATGTCAATACTGAGTTTGAATAATTATTTGATGTTTTTTAAATAAAAAACAGACTGCTGTGTACATGAGCAGAACAACAACCCAAAAAACGATTCCTCAAAAAGTTAAGTTTTTTATTACCAGAATTTCTTGCTTTTTCAATTTTATTGATTAGTTATTGTATGGAATTCCGGGTAACACTGCTTGTTCAAAAATGCCCTCTGTCTTTTTTTTTTTTAGCTTAATGTTTTGTTGATGTTGCCACCATCTAGTTGGATTTTGTGCCAAAATTTATGTTTTGTGCTAAGTGGTTCTTCATTAAGAGAAAAATTCTGAATTTATTAATTACTATTGTTATTATCAATTTAGAGCAGGAATAAAGTTTAAAATGTGTTTCATTTGTTAATTTGATTCATCAGATTATATGTTCTACAGTTTATAATATTTATTTTTCAATTAATTTTTTTAAAGTAGTATTGTTAATGTATTACTCATTTGTTTTAATTAGCATCTGTACATGTTATGTCAATTGATCCTGCATATGTTCAGTCCCATGCCAGTTGTGTTACTACCATGGAGCTTGCCACTGTTGGACAATGTGTATCTGAATGTGCACAGGTAAATAATTAGTGTTTATTTTACTGTAACGTAATTGCACTGATTAATGACTAGGCTTTATTAATAGGTAATAGAAAGCATTTCTATTTTTAAACCAGTGGTGTGAATATATAGTTTTAGAATTGTTTAAATTGCTAAAAATGAGTCTAAAAATGACATGGGTTAAAAATCTTGTGTGTCTCATATGTTACTTATGTTATGTTACTCTGCTTACGTATGTGAAGAACTACATGAAAAAATGCGAGACCTCGGTTTGCGAACCTAATTCTTCCAGAAAGCTGTGTCACCCGAATTGTTCGTAAGATGAAAACAGTTTTCCCTAAAGGAATTAATGTGAAATGGTCATTATTTAACACAGATGATTGCCTATTTAAGCATTGAAACAATACTTTGTGCACAAATTCATAAGCTAAAACTGATTGCAATTGATGAGTCTATTAAAAAAAGAAAGATGAGCACAGTTATTAAACAGATAAATGGAAATTTAATTTTATTGTACTGTTACAAAGGAAAGTGTACAAAGAAGATGTTATTAGTGGAAAATAATATAAGGAATATGTTATTTGAATGCCAAATTTCTTTCTGTTAAAGCATCACGTAACTCTTAAGTACAGATCTTTTTTCATCTTTTCTTTGTCACTGCTTGACTCTGCTTGAGACTCATTTGGCCTCATGTTTTATTCAAACTTTGTTCAATATGATTTTTTGTTGCCTGCATCTTAAAGTTTTTCTAAAAGTGAGACAGATTGATGTCATTACATGAAAACTTTGCTCTTATTTTTATTTGTGCAGATTTCATCGATCGTGGTGCTACAATCATTTTTCTTTCTTCCCTTGCTTCTAAAGTCATTTCTTCCATAATTACCTTTTTTTTCTGCTTTGAAAGTTGTAATTCTTGCTTGTTGAGCTCATTTTTATGGTTCTCTAGTTGGCATCTCCACATCTTCACCGCTTACTTCCTAGCCCATGATTTTTGTGTAGAGTTTCAGTATCATAGATAACAAAAAAGACCTGAATGTCAAAATGCTGAAAGTCTCTGAACTACCTAACAGAGAAGGAGATGTACCATTCAAAAGTCATTTTATCTATGCTTGATTATCAATAAAGCTGATAGTGCAGAGATATCTTAAATATACGTTGTGATATCAAACTGAAAATGAGTGTCCTTTCTCGTAGCCAGATAGGTTGTGCAGTGTGACGGCATTCTGGACTGAAGGCAACTAAGGAGTCCCTGTGGCAGCCGATCCCATGCTTGCAGCAAGACAGTTTTCAACTCTGGGGTGGTTCTTAGAGGGGAAGGCAAAATGAAATTGCCTTCCAAAGAGTGCCCAGACATGCTATATAGGGTTAAAGTCAGGAGATCTGGCTGGGAAATACATGCGAGAAATATTCTCACTTTCCGGATAATCATTGACCAGCTGAGCTCTGTATGGATGAGTGTTGTCATCCATTAACAGGAATCCAGGACCAATTGCACTCCTGAAAATTTGAACATAGGGCTCAGAGATCTCCTGTCTATACTTCATAACAGTCAGAGAGCCTTTCTCAACCACATGCGGGGGTGTCCGGACGTTTAAAATGATGCCCACCCAAACCATTTCACCTCGTCCACCGTAATGATCCTTTTCCCCGATGAGAAAGGTATAATATCATGTTCCAAGCACCTTTCAGATACAGGTTGGAGCATTGATGCCCAGGGTGAATCTCAACTCCTCTGTAAGAAGTTCAATGCTCCACTGAAGTCTGGTCCAAAGTGTATTGCCAGTGCCTCACTAAATACGCTGTCTTATGTGCTACATTGAGCAATATGCAAACAGTGGGTCTTCTGATATACAGCTGTATCTCATGAAACCTTCAGGCAACTATAGACCATGAAATTCAGGTTCCAGTGGCAGTATACAACTTGCATAAGAGCTGTGAAGATGTAGCAGTCCTGTGTCACTATGCTGAAAGTGCTAAATAATGATCCTCATTCTTCATTGTGGATGTTGTTCGACCTTGTCCAGGTATTCTTGATGTAGATCCAGGATCTTGAAACTTGTTTCTACAAATTACAGATGACACTATGGCATTACATTGAGCTGTGTCACTACCTGCACTTGTGATTGTCGTGCGTCCAATCTGTCGACAATTCTCCAACTCATTCTGCCATCTATACGTCCATGGCTACTTGTTTTACCTGATACTTAATAAAGTTTAATGTATTGTTGCGAGCAACACGATGAATGTTATGAAGGAGTAAAAGCACACAAATCATTGAAAACCCCTCTTGTGTTTATTACCCTCTACAACCATAGCTCCTCAGACATGTGAATGTATGCTTATTTATTCAACTCTGAATATTTGCTTAATTCTTTGGCAGCATTATTAGTACTTTTTATTCAAAATGTATTGTAAAAATAGACATAATATGCAAATTCTTAATTTTATGCACAGGTCTACTTTTTAAATCAAGTTTTGTATATATTTCAATTTAACAACTTCAGTATCTTTAAAAATGTTCTGTTGTTACTTTATGCTTAAAATACATAATGAACATCGCATAATCTGCTTTTTAAATGCTGAATTTTTAGTATTAATAGCTGTGGCCGTAGAAGTTTGAAAACAGGTTGTTAAAGGTATCAGAACCTAGTGTGCTTATGCAATCTTTCAAATAATAATAATTGCAGTAATCTTTCAAATGTTAAAAAATGTTTCAATTTTTCAAAATGTTTCAATAGCGGATTTAAAGCTAAGAGTACATTGCATTTGTAATGTAAAGCTGCAGTAGAAGGTGTTGTAAAATACCTTGTTGAATTTTCAGAAGCATAAATTTTTATTACTTTAATTTTTTATCATTTTATTAATATTTATATTTTAGGGTTCCTTTAAATGTAGTTGTTTTGGGCATTCAATGATTCATGGTTTTGTTATTTGGTTTACGGTACATTTTCCGAACAACGTGGTATTGTCTACTTCTCCGTATGAAAAGTAAGTACTATTTATGAGTTTTTTTCCCATAAATATGCAGTTAATATGCTTTATAAGGCAACTATGTCTAACTCCTTTGCTGTTGAGCTTTCCAAATTAAAAATTTCTTGAATATTTATGTAATTGAAAAACATTTTATCGTAGGTTAAATATTAAAAGTGTGTTTTATGAGAAGTGCATTATGTAACTTTTTTTTGCCAAACATTTCGAAAAATGATTAGGGCTTTGCTTATATAATTCATTGGAATATTTACAAAGTTACAAGATCCTGGCATTTAAAAAAAAATTGTGATGGGCATGATTTGGGATTTTATTTGAAAACAGATAATGGCAATACATGAAAAATTGTGACCATATCCATTTGAAAAGAAGTATTGTTCGAGAGCTCCAGCATTAACATTTATAACTGCTATATCATAACTTATATCTTTTGGTTATCTAACTAAATAATAAAATATCTGTTCCCCAAATTTCTGTCAAAATAAATTGTACAAGTTTAGCAGAGTTTCTGTCAACTTCCATAATTGACTGAAGAGTATGCAAGTGGCTTACTTTCTTTCTTTTTTTAAGTGGAGGATATTTTCTTTCCTTAGTGTAACATTCTTGATAGCCAAGCTTACAGGTGCAAGGCATTTATCTTATTGCAATATAAACTTGACCCATAATGTTTGATTTCAATTGAAAATCAGAATGTAATTTTTTATTCACAATGAAACATACTATTAGAAACATTAAAATATTACATGTAATAGATATGGGAAGAGAGGACAGTTTTACAATCAGACTTGTTTATTATGAAAATTTTATGTGTAAGTGACTATGTCATAATTTTGTCCCCCCCCCCATTTATATTTGAAACTGCTATATTTTTCCAGAGAAACTCATTGGGAACAATCTGTTTTATATATACCTCCTGTAGCTGTAGAACAAGATTCTGTGATAACTGGGCAGCTATGGATTCGCAGAGGTGAAGTGTACCATAGGTAAGGGTAGGAATAGTAATAATTTATTTAAACAGCATATTCGTAAAATATTTTTAGTGTATTTTTTACACTGAATTCCAATTGGACATAAATTATTATTATGAATATAAGAGTTCTATTCTGCAGTTGAGTAGTTATTATTAAATAAGATTGTTTTACAAAATGATAATATTTTATTTGTTAATTGTATTTATATTCCTAAAAAAAGTTTTGTTTACAGGTTTCTAGATATAGAACTTGAATACCAAGTTGATAATGGTGAAAAAAGAAGAATGAAGTATAAGATGAAGGATTAGTTTTGAGCTTAATTTATGTATTTTAAATTTTAATAAAATCAAAATGGTTGTTGTGTGTTTATTAATTTGTTATTTTTCTAAAGTTGGTTTCCAGTTTAATTATCTTCAGTTTTCATTATGTAGTGGACAGGGATATACATAAACTTTTTTAAAACCAAACTCCAGAAAATTTGCTTTGTCCTAGTTTCATTTCACTTCCCCCCCCCCATTTTAAATCACAAATAGTTTTTGCATAATTTTCGATTAATATCAGTTTTTGATCAATTATGTGTAGATATTTGTACTTCAAAATATAGCATTTGCAAATATGTAACTCTTCAGTCATCAAAATTTTCCATATGGCTATAATGGTAGTAAAGTAAAAGTTAAAAATCCAATTTACCTCTAACCGCTGTAATGTAATATGATACACCATCGTAGACATTGATCCTGATATGCATATTTCACTATACTTGTTTCTACATGTCTAGTATCCTCAGTTGGTGATGCTATAATCGAGAATATATTATTTCTGTGGAGTGCTGCCAGATCCTCATACAATATATATCAAATATTTCATATTTCAAGTTTGGCTACACTACTGTATGCTGTCTAGTATAGATTTGTTTGTGCTTGAAGTTTTTATCTGCATATTAGTAGCATTACTTAACTTCTAGCTGTAAAACCTATTTGGTGTGCTCACAAATCCCCACCTGGCAGTTAAAGTTTTTATTTATTTATTTTTGGTATATGTTTCTTATAATCAGGTCACCTTTTTATACATTTGTTTACTGTAGAAATTAATTTAAATTATTTTGTAGAATGTACGATGAATATTCCTTATTTTTTATGCATGTGGGAACTTGATATAGTTTGCTTAGCTCAAATAGAATGCAAATCAAAGTTAACAGTCTTCACAAACATTTAAATTGAAGTGTTGCCAAAAAAAAAAAGAGAAATTACATGAGACTCATTTATATGTTTTAAATATCATCAGGCTTACCTATTAGGCAATATTATCAGGAGTATATTTCATAAAAGAAGGTAACATGTCTGAAAAAAGAATGAATGAAAGTACTATGCAGGTACAAATTCTTTTTAATCTTCTACATCTAAAACATAGGTAGGATCTTCTCTCGCCAATATATTGTTTGACGCTTATTTGTTTTTGACATTGCCAAGTTTTATTATGCAAAAATGACACTAATTTATTCTAACAGAACTATCCATAAAAATAAAAGCGGGGTAGCAAAACAGTTTGTGGAAACCAAAAGAAGGGCACTCAAAAGTTCAGAATTTAGATTTAGTGACAATATTATATGTGTCTAGTAAAAAAATACACTGGTGTCACCGTCAGTGCATTTAGAAGACAATTCTGTTGATGAGGTAACAGGAGTTAAGAATCTTCCAAATATAATTACATTTTACTATAAAAAGGTCAGGAGTGGACAAGATGGATGAGGTATCTGGTACATACTCTCTACTACTAGGACATGTAGAAGATGGCCATTAGTTGTAGTTTTTTAAACTGCTTGACAATAGTCACATTATCTACACTGCCAATAACAAGAAAAGAAAAACTGTTTAATACAGGATTTACTTGCAAGACTTAGGGTTCAACCTTATGAAAGACTGGCTAAAAAGAAGATCTGCAAACTCACACATTCTGCATGCAGTATGTATTACAACAACAAATACACTGGAGTGTTCCAGAATCTGATGAGACAAAAGAACCATTAAATAAAAATACAAGGTGCATTGTTTGTCCAAGGAAAGCTGACAAAAAATGAAATTGTTTTGTGAAAAATGCTATGAACAAACACATTCTGCATGCAGTATGTATTACAACAACAAATACACTGGAGTTTTCCAGAATCTGATGAGACAGAAGAACTGTTATACAAGGTGCACTGTTTGTCCAAATTGTTTGTGAAAAATGCTATGAACAAATGTATCTAATTCACATGAAGTGCATTGGTGAAAAATTTATTCATAACAAGATTCCAAAGGTAGCTGTTAATGATACATTTTAATATAAATAAAAATACAAGGTGCACTGTTTGTCCAAGGAAAGCTGACAAAAAAATTAAATTGTTTTGCGAAAAATGCTATGAACAAATGTGTCTAATTCACATGTTGTGCATTGATGAAAAATGTATTCATAACAAGGACACATAACAAGACTCCAAAGGTAGCTATTAATGATACATTTTTTCAACTTCAGTAAGCTTCTTTTGTACACTAAAGCTCTTTTTTTTTGGGGGGGGATTACTTTTGCATTTTCATAAGAAAACCAACTGGTAAGTGCATAAAATATTTTTTGGTATCATTTTACATGATGCACCCTATTACCTTGTTTGCGAACAAGTAGAAATTGTAAAGTTTTCATCGGGATCTGGCTGATCTCCTTATGGCAGTTTGCATTTTACAAAACCACAGACAGGTGCCGGATGAAAACAAAAGAGGAGATGGAGCGTGTGTTCCGTGTGATCTTAGTAGAATCTCCATGAAAATGCTTTCAGGTGAATATTTACAAGGTTATTCTGCATCTTCAAAAGTGACAAAATGTACAATTAAGATATCACTTGCATCAGTAGAAATGATGATAATATGCTAAATCCTAGATGAGTTTTTGTGTGCTGAAAGTATTAAAAAATATGTATTTAAATTTGATATTTATAGACCGTTTTTATTGTCAGGGCTATAAATAAAAAAATTTTAGATGATTGTTCTGGTTATAAATATATTAATGCCCACTTATTATTTTAATAAGTTTGTATAATATAAAACAGTAATTATGAGGTACAAAATTTAGGTTTAAAAGTAAAAAGTATGCTGAGATTATGTACATTACTTCAGAGCTAAATTAAGACACAGAAAATGATACAGAAAGTTTTTCCCCTTCCTACTTCTTAAGAAGGTTCATATCTATTATCTTTGTGAAAATAACTTTGTTATGAATTTTTAATATTCCATATTATAGAAGTATCTGATTTTGGTTGTTGCATAAATTGTAATATTAGTACATATTTTAATTGTTACTTGAAAAACTGTATAGTTAAATATTTCGTGAATGCTTTCTGAATCCTAAGTTCTCTGTGTATTATTATAGAAATAGAGAAGACTCATATAAGTAAGTGATTTTCTACTTTTTCTATGTAAGGGAAAATTGATAGGATGCTAATTAGAGGTTGTAGATATCAGTACGCAAGTTTCATTGCTGTATAAGGAAATATGGTAATTACATGAAAATTTTTTAATGTACACTCTCTGTTCTTTGTTAGTAGGAACTCACACATGCATGTAGGCCCATTTTTTATTAATAACCAATTTTTGGGGCATGATATAACTTCTGTTTATTCAATATATATATATATATTAAGTCCCGGTAAAGATTAAGTTTTAAAGTAGTGGAGCTTCTAAGTAAATGCAAAATATATATTTTATATTTATTTAAAAACTGTTAATGCAATTTCAGGAATGCAACTTAGAGCTTTAAAAATTGCATTTTACATAAATAGAATCAAGATGAATATTCATGACATTTGGATTTAACATTTTGAATTAAGGCCTTTGATGTATTTGAGATTGTTAAAAAAGTGTGATCCTGATATTTCATGCTGCCTTCCTTTCTACAGAACACTTCCTGTTTAGAACAATATATCCTAACACTAGTATAAGTTAGAAAATGAGGAGAACTCTCTCTTGAGATGGATAGAAATAATAGTTTTAGTCTGCAGGTGTATCTGTCCTCGTAGTTAAAAGTATGACCATGTCTGTTTCCCTGTTTTTTTAGGATATAAGTATTATGCTACTTGCTATCCCAATTCCAAAACATGAAAAAAGAATTTGTGTACTTTCCAGAAGAATTGTAAACTTAAGGCATATAAACCTTTAAACTCTTTTTAGACACTTAAGCTGAGTTAAAAATTATGCATAAGTTTCAGGAATGTTTTTAAATAACAAAATTAAATGCCTTTTGTAAAATATGTTTTGTGGCAACCGGTTTTTTTTATTTTATATGAAAAAAAAAATTATAGAAAATAAAAAATGTTTAGTGTCAAAAAGACAAATTTATAAATTAGCATTAGAATATATTAGCCTTTTTAAACACTAGTGTATGTTTAATCAGAAATTTTATTATTAAAATAGGATTTCTTGTCAAGGAGGACTGATTTAACAAGTTATATGTGTAGTGTATAAAATTAATGCCAACAATTAAAATGTTTACATGGCTGCATTAATTTATTGTAGATGCATTTGGAGAGTTATTTTTTATTATTATTTTGAATAAATATTATTGAGGAAGTTTAAAATCTCTTCATGTGTATGTTCATTGTTTAATTTTCAAGTCTAAAATTGAAATTGAGCATATTAGTTAGGTACCTGAAGATAGTCTGGAAATGTAGAGTTTCTTTCTTACAAGTTTTTTAATAAAGCTTATAAATAAATCATGAGCAAACCTAAATTGTCTGTAGCTCAGATTTATCTGGCAGTAGCTGCTTGAATGACTCTTATTCCTTACACTATTAATGACATCTGAAAATGAGACTAATATTTTAGATTTGGTATTAACTTTCACAACTAGTTTTATAATGGTTTTTAAAATATTTAGTAAACTATTAATATATTCGTAAATTAATAAACACTACTTTTTTGAACATGTCTTTTTGTAGTAAAAAATGAAAATAATCTTGTGCCAGGTACAAATGATTGATTTCAGAACTTAATAACAAATATTTCTATTATTTAATTTTAAGTCCAAGATTTTTTTCAATCTGTAAACATTTAAAACGAGATTCTGTATTTTAATTTTCATTAAATACTGTGAAAACATAATATCTGAAGAGAAGGAATGAAATCTGAAAGGAATGACCAAACTTAGTTTTATCTTGAAATAAAGAATATTAAAGACAGGGCAAAAAACAGTTGAGTGTACAAACAAATTTATTTACATTAGGACAGTCATTTGTGATGTTGAATAGAGAGCATTGGTTTGCATCTTTGCAGATTTTGATTTCAAAACTGTTTTCAGGTATATAAATTTTTGTACCTATAAAAGGAATAATAATATCAAAAGTTTCAAAACCTTGCAAACGCTTTGAAAAAGAATACTGCAATTTATACGAAACAATTCAAATTTAGAATTTGGATCTTTTGAATATGGGTAAAATTAGAAGTTTGATATTTTTTAAAAGCACTATTATTTACTGTGTTAAATTGCAGTTTTGTCTTTCTGTGAATTGAATGTACAGTTGACCGACCATAGTTGTATTTTGTATGGATGAGCACAGATAAACTATACAAGATTTTTACATTGTAATATACATATTTGTGGTGAGTTCAACATTCCAGTTATTTAATGCTAGGAAGAACAACATCCACTTTGTGCGTAAAGTACTGCATCATGTACTGTAGGGAATAGGAACTCTTTACTGACAGATTTAAAAAAACCTTGACTTTCCAAACTTTCTAGTACTGGCTCTGAAAAAGAAATATAAACAAATATAATGTTATATAACCACTAAAATTCAGAATTGTATCATAGATATATAAGTAGAGCCACTACAAGGTAGCTTGAATGAAAATACCATATATAATTTTTTATTGTATAAACATATAATAAATAAATAAGATAAAGAAATCTTGAGCTAGCAGATTTGCATCTGGCTTAAATCTAAATTTACAAATTTTGTAATGTTCAAACTTTCAGAAAGTTTATTATCTTCCCCTGTGTGAACCTTCTGTGAATTCATTCATTCATAACAAAAGATAATCAGAAAGTACCGTACAAGCTTATTTACACTGCTGACCATTAATAGTGCTGCACACCACAAAAGAAAATACTCAAAAGAATTATATCTAACTTAAAAATTATTTTAAAGGCTAAGATGATTAGAATTTCAGATAATTTTGAAATACAGAGCATGCAAAACAATATTCCAGTGACAATAATGCCTGCTGTTGTATGTATGGAGCAGGTCAATGCAGGCTAAGCATGGAGTCAAACTTTGATTAGCATTTTGGGACATTGCTGTCAATACAGCTTCAGTTCTGTGCCACAGTTAATCCATTATACTGGCTGATGGATGTTGTTTTATCAGCCTCTCTGTAACTGCTGACTTGCTTTCAAATGATGAGAAATCGGGAGCACATGCTGGTTAAAAAAGGAGTCAAAGTGCTTTGTGGCAACATGCAATCCCACATTGTCTTGTTAAAAAAGTTAAATACCTTGGAAGTGTATGGTGTAGATACAGGCATTAAAACCTTAATAATTTAAGTTGGCTAGTCAAAGATTTAATATACAGACTAGAGGTGAATGAGATATGTATGCAGTGATATCCCATATTATCAATCCAGTTACTGGGCCAAAATAATTTAAAAGCTCCCAATATTATTTTCAGTGCCTCCATACAAGAAGATGGTTATGGTGTTGTTATAAGCAAAAGCAAGATTTATCAAATTATTGTTGCACTGTATTAATACAGAGTTCACAGCAGAGAGTGTTCACAGCAAGGGAATTCTAGAATTGCATAAATATGGTGCCTTGCCCAGATTGTGACAATTACATGCATTTGCACTTCCATTGAACGAAATGCGCACCTTGTCAATCCATAGGATTTTTGGTAGCCAGTCAGTGCACATTGTTTTTAATCTGTTGAAAAGCCTAGGTTGCATGGAAATAAAATTTTTCATTATTAAAAAAGAAAAACTTTATGTACACCTTCTGTGAAACCTCATGATAATACCCTCTATACTTTTTGAATGATTGAATTTTTATATTTTCTTTTAGTTTTTGTTCACCTGGTGTATATATTTCTGTGTATTCTTTTCACTTAATCACTGCACTGAAAGGGAAGAGTAATTACATATAGATATATAATTACATAAATCTGATTCATTCTCTGCAAGTTGGTTTAATTTTTGTTAAAAAAAAAGGGTTAAAGTGAATTGTCATTTAATTGCATTATTAGAAAACTGGTTATAATTTTGGACTGTTTTTAAGTGGAACAGCATGCAGCAGAATATTTTCAAAATTATGAGACCTTGGCATCAAGATGATGCAAGTTTGGTGAGATCTCCATTAATTTTCATTGTTGATTGAGTTTTGCAATTAAATATCATGTTTTTACTTTATTATTTAGGTTGGAATGCTCTTTTTTTCGCTCTCAAAATTGCATTTTATATATGATCAGTTTCCTGAAATTCAGCATTTCCCAGCTTTCCAGATAGTTGAACTTTTACTGTAGTTCTTTTTATGAGTAATTTAATGGGAAAGTAGGATATTTATTTAAAATTAGGGGAAAAAAATCCTAATTTGGCTTCTATTATGAATATATAAGGATTTAGAAATAAAAAAATGTTTTCTTCTGAAGGACCTTGTCTGATTGATCTAGAAATGGATAAATTTTATTCAGAATCTACATAAAAATTAAGGTTGCTTTTTGCCTAACTTTTTTACTTTGCATTGGCATGCTTTTCTTCCATTTTGTATGGAAAGTATATACTTAAAAAATACTGCAGCATTTTTGTTGCTTGCATTTAAATATAAAGAAAAATCTCTGAAACAAATATGCTTGATCATCATTCCTTTAAAAATTACCCTGTTAGAGGAAAATGCAAATTTTCTGAATTCCATATCTTTATGATATATATTAACTAGAGAGATTATCTTCCTTAGAAAAAGTAGAGTAAAAATTTAATTGGAAAATTATTATAACACACTGAAGTTATTATTCAGTTAAAGTTGCGTTATGGGGGGAAAAATTAAATATTTTTTTGCTTAATTCTGAATAAGACTAATGCAAATAAAAAAAAAAAATAAATAAATAAATAATAACTGAAATAAAAAATATTTGTGTGTAAGTTGCTTACTTACAAAATGAAATAATTTTGCTTACAAAAATTTTAATTGATAATCAAATTTCCACCAAATTTATTAACTTTTTCCCTTAAAAAAGCTGGCATTAATTGTCAAATTTAATCTTTAATAATGTAAGGATTGCATTGCCTTAAAACGATAAGGAGGTGAAGCAGGAAGTATTTATTAGTATTGGAGACTTGTAGTATATATTGCTATTTAGATTAAAAATATTGTGTTTAACTAACACCTGTTTTAATTTCTACGATTTTCATGTTCACTGCCTTATGATTCTTTAGAGAGCAGTTGTCAACTTCAGCCCCTGATTTTAACACTTCACTTTCTGTATTTATAGACCAATCAACAATATTCTTTTTTAGATTTTTCCTCACCAGTTTGTATCCACAAATAGAAACTGGGAATTTGTATGCCAATTAGAATTTTATTCGCCATAGCACTTTTACACCTCATTAATGTATCAGCTTATAGTTGCAAACCTAAAAAGTTGCTACAACCTTTTCACAGTAAGAAGCCATTACTCTTCTAGAAGTTTTTTTCAAGCAAAATGAGCAAGGCAGCAATTTTATTTTATTAGAAGGTATCTAAATATTTGTAAGCAATTATTTGAATTTTTGGCCATATTTTTGTAACTTTTATGTTGCATATTTTAATTCTAAAATTAACTTTTCTTTTATAGTAAAAACGTTTTTGTAACTTATTTAAGTGTATATTTTTAAGGCATTTTTTGATTTATTGCATATTTTGTCAAAATATATTGCAGTTTTTACAGTATTTTATTTAGGAGTCAGAATGATGTCCCATGTTTCCATAGTCTGCTTGAGAATTAAACTAACTTAAATTGAGTTAAAATCTTAATCTAGATTCTATTAAATTGAATTTTCACCAAGCATAGTGGGAAGATGAAACACAATTCAGATTTTCCTAATTGTTGGTGATTATGTCGAAAAAGGCAAATACTCTTAGAAAAGGTCAGCCTTTTTCATGGAATCAGCAAAAAATAATTTAATTTTAAAATTCTATGCTGAACAATAGGTTCATTGTGTTACAATAGTTTTCAAATTACAATAAGTTTTTACTATACTTTTTCTGGGAAGATAAATCTTCTTAGTTAATAAATGCAACAACATTAAATAAATTAATTAAATAGTACATTTAAAATTCATCCCATATTCAGTTCAGAATAAACCATTTGCAAAAAAATGAAAACCAGAAGCACAGTAGCAGACTGCAAGAAAATGGGAGCGAAACATGGCAAAACCAAAAATGAAATAAGAAATTTGCATCTTTTACTGTGTCATCATAAGGGGTTGGTACAACGAAATGAGAAAATAAATCAGCATATTTCTAAACCAAAAAAGACGTAATTAAAGTTTAAAACTTAAAATATTCTCTGAAATACAATCAAAGTCATGTAATGTTAATGCATATATTAATATATTTAATCATAAAACTGCTACTACTGAAAATCAAATTTTCACTGTTAAAAGGATTGTTTCTTACCTTGAACACAAGCCAAATATATCACAATATTGTTCACTGCAAATTCTCTCATTACCTAAAAATAAATTTTGTATTTCATGAGTTGCATAAATTAAATTGTTAAAACATATATATATTCTCTAAAACTACTAAGCTTATTTTTATTCTTATACAGATATTATAAAAGCTGTAAATCAATACCAGAATTTTACAGTACAATATTTAGAATAATTAAGCAGTTGGAACTACTTCAGAATCAGAACTTTATAATTCTTATAGCATGAATAACATAAAAGTACAGCAAATTAACTCCTTTGCATTCATACAGTAATATGACTTATGTGACTTTAAAGTTTCATTTACAAGAATGTATGTGACCATGCACTGCTTAGGCACCATAAACATTTTTATAAACTTTTTAGAACTACTGAAACAAGAAATATTCAAATTATAATTATATTTTAGTTAAAAAGGATTATTCTTTTTCATTGTTTTTTATTAAATAAAATTAGTGTTAAGAGATTAAGGGGAAATGTTCTTTTAAACATAGATTTTTTTTGCATAAATGTTGCTTCTACATGTTCTAAAGTTTTCTCTTATTTGCATTACTGGACAGATTGAAGTTTTTAAATGCTATCTGTGAAATATTATTTAATTTCTTGTAGATAATAGCAGAACTTTCACTAAAAATACAATGAAAGGTAACTAACCTACACTGTATGCATTTTTAACAAAATATTTAATTTCAGACTTAAAAGGAAACAAGAAGTAAACTTAAAACTGTAAAGAAAAAATAATGAGTTGTATCTTATAGATAAAATTTAAGTGTTCACATGCTTAAATCTCACTTCTGTATTCAGTTCTGCCAGAGCTTTTATGGACATTCTACTAGCCTTGTCAGGCAGAGCTTAATACTGCCTTCTTTTACTCTCTCTCCCTTCATATTATACCTGCAACCCCATCACTTCATATTTCTTTCACCTAGAGCTATTACTTTTTACTTATTATTGTCAAAATATATGGTAGAGTGATTAGAAGTTCTCTATTATATCCTGGCTTGCTTGTAGTTTTTATTACTCTGAAATTTTCAGACCTGTTTTCTGTACATGATAAGATAATCTTTCTTGTACCTAATAAAATACATAGTCTTAAGCTATTTGTTTCATTATTTTGGCCCATTATGTAATTCTGAAAAAACATTATTAAACCATGTTAAAATTAAATATCTCATATTCTAAGATTTTAGGTTATACAAATGGAAATATTTTTAGTTAATACTTACCTGTAAAAGCATAGCAACTCCTCCAGAATCCATGTAAGCCACTGCAGAAAGTTCCAGAATAATGATTTTTAAGAAATCATATTTGTAAGTATTTGAAAATGTCAACTGATCCTCTGTTGTAACAATCTTCTCTTTCTCACACTGTAAGAAAAAAATTTTTTTAGTTGCATGAAAGAAATGAACTTCAAATTAGGTGTTTGCTTAAATATATATTTTTTTAGTTTTACCTGTGCATTTTGGTACTTTATTTGAGCCTTTGTAGTTTGACTGAAAAGAAAATGTAACAGATTTATGCATGTTGTTAAAGCCAAAAACTTTCATTGCATATGTATACAAACTTCTCATCTTTTCATATATTTCCTATAAACTCCAGATTTGTAATTTTAAACAGTTTTGAAACAGAATTCGGTTAAGTTGATAATTTATATCTTACCAAAAAAATGGTTTGAATAATTAATTTTGGTAGTAGAATAAGCAAATATCTTTAAAGTTAATAAAACAGAATTAAAACTTGGCTTTGAAAAATTTTTCTTAAGCATCAAAATACATAAAATTTTATTAAAAGGTTCCAAAAATTTAATTACAAAATTAATAATATTAAATAAACATATTAAAATTTCACTTAGCAGACATCCCTAAAACTATATTCTCATGTCTCATTCTTTTGAATTTTTTGTCAAATTAAAGGTGCATAGCCTCAAGTCATATTGTGAGTACCCATTCCGATTACTTAAGATAAAATTTTAGGCATTACTTTTTTTAAGTAATATTTAATAAAAAATAAACTTAACTGCATCTGAAATATTTTCAATCAACTTATTCAGCGTAATTTATTCTCTATTTATCATCTACTTAATCTTCATAATTCATGATTTCAGTATATAGAATCATAGGGCTGCAAGACCAACATAATATGTATAATCTGTGTAATATTTTTATTCTTTCATATGAAATAATGCATCAGTTTATTATTTGTGCTATTAGTGAATTATTATTTAATTTTTAATGGAATTTAAAATTTACAAGTTGTACTCAGATGGCCCCTAGTCTTTGCCATTATGTTGTTTGTAACATACTTACTATTTTTTCGACTGAGTACTTTTTTTTAATGGTATCTTTCAGAGTGTTAATTTTTCCTGTTAAAAACTTAAAAGTTCATTCAGTGAGGAATCAATGCAAAATAGCTGTGTATAATTTCTTACTATTTACAATATCATAATGTAAAATGGCTAGATTAAAACAAAAAGGAAAGGAAAAGGCTTTATATAGTTTGTTGAAATGCTAAGCCTTTTTTAATTGAAATCAATGCCCCTCCCCCAGAAAAAATTGCAAAAAAAAATAGTAATTTAATCAGGTTTGTTGTGCATAGCTTGCAGTTTGTTTCGTAGTGTTATCTTCTCTAAAGCAATATTTCATAAATATAAGAAACATTTTTTTGAATTATTCTGATTTTATTTCTAATGTTCTGACTTACTGCACTGATGACATATGATATTTTATAAATAAGTGAACTATGATCATCGGCTGCTGTTTTATTAGAAATGCTGAAAATTGCTGTTTCTTTTCCTAAAAATATTTTGCATATTTTCAGAAAAGCTTAAAAAGAATATTCAGAATTTTTTTTTTTTTTATTAAGCATTATTTATGTTTTACAACTATTTGTATTTTATTGTATGAAACAAATTCCCATTTTATGCTTTAGGAAAACATTGATTGCTTTTTTCATTGAATTTTGCCTGGTACGTTCTGTGATTTCAAAATTGACTAACATTTATGCAGTTATTGGCAAATTTTAAAGGAAACTTATTTATGTATTCCTGTAAAATATCAGTTGTTTTACATTAAAGGTGTTACTTTCTAGTATTATTTAATTGGATTTTTACCCAATAATTTTTTTTAATAAAAGATAATTTTTTTTCTATTTTAATTTTCTATAATTCCTTTTTTTTTAAATAGATATAGTACATTATTGAAAAATGATTAGCTATATATTCCAGTAATTAAATATATCATTTCTAAAAATGAAATACAAATTTCTTATTCATAAATAATAATAATGATCTATGTAGATATACCTCATTGTTTAAAAATCATTAGCAAAATATGATAATATGAGATAATATGATTGTCAATAATCGACTGATATCATTTTTTAAATAATTCCTTGACCAAAAATTAATTTAGAAGAAACTAGGTAATTTCCAAAAGCAGGACATTCACCTTACTTGTTTTTAAATCGTGATAGACGTGTAGTGTATAAGATTTTTTTTTTAATTAAGAGATCAGTTGTATTACAATTTGTTGGCATAGCTGATATAGTAATCAACAACTTCTCCAAATTATAATTTAAATTTGTGATGTGTTTAGTTTTTAAGATATGCACTATGTAGTCATTGCTAATATTAGGTTAGTCTCAATTAATTTGAGCTTGATTAATTCATAGTTTTGGACAGTCTGAAAAACTTGACAAATTTCTTTTTATTTTTCTACTTAATGCAATTTTAAAATTACTTGTATAATTTAATTTTTTTAATCGGATCATTTGCGTTTGATTAGCATCATTATGTTAAAAAAAATAGTAAAATTCAGTCACTGCAGAACACGTGTTTCATTTAAACTCTATCTATTCCTTAAGTATACTTTATTATTTTACCTTAATTATTTGTTATTAATACACAGTACAGAGTCCAGATCATAAGAAAAGAAAATTTAAAAAGAAAAAAGAGCCACACTATTGAATAGAGAACACTTTCATTTTTTGGAGTGTTGTAATCGATGCTTTAGGTCATGTACATTTGTCATGCGTAAGGTGTTAAAGAAAATCATCGTCATATCTTTTCAGTTGGTTGTGGAAACTTGTATTCTCAATTTGGAAACGTTTAGCTGTTTGTTTATTATTTCTAAGCATAAATCATCTGATATGTGTTTTAGTAAAAGGTCTTGGTAATTAAAAAAGAAGAGCAGTATTGCAAAATATAGGGTATACATCTTAACAGTTTTTTTCATTTTTCCTGGAGAATAAATTAGATTTTTTCATTTGATACTATATAATTTTGGTTCTACTGAGTGTATTAAAAAATGAAGGTACACAACTAGATATTATATAGTAGTCCATATACAAAATTTCAACCTTCTATGGCTAATTGTAATATTTCTGTCAAAATATAATTACTTGAAATTTTTCACAATTACAGTATTTCCTTTACTTCGCATGAGAAATAAAAATAGCTTGCAAAAAAACACAGTCAAAATAAGTAAACTTAGTGTATATTATGATTCTGAAATCCTTAGACTGTGGAAAAATTCACAATTTAAAGGAAATTCATACATTCAAGATTTGTGTTTTAAATACATTCAATCCAATATTTATTTTATCTATACAAGAGATAATAGGGAAACCTTAAATAAAGCAGGAGAAGTATTTATTTTATATATCATGCTATGTAAACTTAAAAAAATTTCAAAAAAAAAAAAAAAAAAAAAAAAAAAAAAAAAAACACTTTTTTAAATGAGCTGACATAGTTTTTTATTTTATACATTTAATCTTGAAATACTCAGATGGAAGAAAATACAAAAGTCTAGCTTTGAAAATGAATTATCATACTATTATAATTGTGTAAAAATCCTTTATGTATAAGATAAAAAGTTCAGAATTGATATGTATTAAGAAAATAATAAGTAATGAGGAACTACCCTCGTAAAAAAATACCATCTTACCAGAAAGCATTTTGCCATGTTCAAATAGATAAACTTGCCAGTGATTGCATAAATAGCTGACTTTTGACACAACTGAACAATGCTTCTTTTAATTCATAGTTTAAATAAGCTAAAATATTAATTCATTATATATAAATTAAAAATTTTTCAAATCATACCTTTGCTGAAAACTGACATGGTGGAAGATCTGTGACCTAAAATATTCTCTGTTGCCAAAATAGATGGATGCTCCAAAATGAAAGATTTTTACACCTGGTATTTCCATCACCTAAAATGCATGTATCTTATTTAAAACTAGGAATACAATTAATATATAGTATACATTATAAATATTGGTAATCTAGGTGAAAGGAGGATTTAAACATTACATACATTTGGGTATTTTTCTACATTTCTGTATATTTCTGTGCCTGGTAAGTTACCTAGTAGGCAGGTTTCTGGGCTGAAAATTAAATGAATATGGTTAAAATAAATGCAATAAGATGTTATTGTAAAATACTAGCTATTGATTTAAAATCTTGATAAAAATTTCTATAATAAATCTAGGCAAAGTAATAAATAATTTTTTTTCCCCATAAACTTGTAACTATTCAAGCTATTTAAAGTTCAGAAATAAATGATTATGCTTAATTTTGAAAGGAGCGGTTTTAATATTTATGAAAAGATATGTTTTGTTAATATTTGAAATCGTTGCTAAAATTTAGATAAGATTTCTAAGAGAAGAAATTTTTATCAGTTTTTCCCATTTTTTGAATGAACAACAACAATAATGTATTGCATATGGGGGATTGTAAAAGCAGGTTATTTACACCCTAAAGCATAATCATACACTTTCATCAGAATTCTAAAATGAGATGATTACTTTGTAAAATAATCTGAATGCAAGTACAGTAAAACAAAGAATTTTATGAATCTAACTATGCGATTGGGGGGAAGGGCTGTGTTTTTAACTTCTCAGGCCTTGAACTACCTAAGGACAAAGAATTTCTGGATTTCATGTACTTGGCTTTTGAGGAACTTTTAGTAATTTCTAAACACATTCTACAATTAAACCTTCTAATCTGTTGTAACATTTTTTAGAACAATCTATTATAACTTTTTTTAGCAATTTAAAAGTTTACTTAATTTAAGAAAAACAATAATGTTATGAATTTGATTTTATTTATGCGAATATTCATATTAAACCTTCAACTTTATAAAAAGAACCATCATATTGAACAAATCAGTTCTTTATTTGATAAGTATTTGTGATTTTAAAATTTGTATATTTCCCTCCCCATTTCTAGTCAGGTAAAATATATATAAGAACTTACTATTGGGATCGGAAAAGTACCGTAATTAATGAAAACAGAATTCCAATGATCAGGCCATAATCCATATCCAATATAACAACAGATAGAAATGTCACAATCCAAACAGACTAGAAAAAAATTAATTAAATACATGTTTTAGTGTAATTTATTTACTTAACATATATATTTTAACATATGTATAGAAATCTCATTTAAGAAATTAAATTACAGCATCCAATTTAGAGGCCTTCCAAGCTCGTTTCAAATCTCCAAAGTACATCAGCATAGATTTCAAAGACACGACAATGATAGCTGACAGAACACACTGTTAATTCATAAAGAAAAAAAAAAAAAAAAAAAAAAAAAAAGATATATAAGAGTGTGGTTACTAATAAATTATTATACTTATAAAGTAAGAAATATACTAACACTGGGTAGTGGCTCGAACTGTGGTGCTAATACTAATAATACAACAGGCATCAACATACATGACACAAGACTGCAAATCTGCAAAGAAAAATACTTTTGTAAGTTCGTTTTCTCTTTAAAAAATTAAAGTGATATTTAAAATGAACAAGAAAGGGTCAAATAAATAAAGATTAGCAAGATTTTTTGATCTCCATTGATGTCCCCATGACCTGTTTGCCAATGCAGAAAACACCTGTGTATAAGGAATTGCTCATATTTATGTTTCTTTGAGAATAATTCAATATATAATCAACATATATCTCTAAATTAAGGGTTGTCAATACTGACCCTGTTAGGACCCCTTGTCTAAACAACTGGAAATCGACTGGCGTAATCAAGATCCCATTGATCACAAAAAATTATGAATAATGTTGATAATTAGTTGTTTAGTGGTATAAAACTGTATCATACAAAGTTTTATTCAAAACACATGGATAAGCTAAGTTTTGGAATTTAAAGTCTTCTAATAGAAATATCTGAAAATAAAAATTGTTACAGAACCAACATTATTGACTTTTCCCTTTTCTTACCTAGTGGAAGTAGCTTTTAATCAAATCAATACTTTACTATGGAAAATAAGAAACAGTTTGAATATTGAAAATGGATATGGATATAGACAGCTACAAAATTAATACATATCATAATAATTAATACTTTCATATAGCAATGTTTTCTGACCTGGAATTCAACTTAGCTCAAAGCTACAAGTATTCAGTAATTTTATCCATTCAGTCTGGCAGATACTGATAAATTTGAGAAAAAGAAATTTAAGGTGGAGGGATAAAAATACGACATTTTTTTTGTAGATGTTTACACTTAATAAAATTTTGATACTTTAAAATGCAAAAATGTCATTAAGGTTTAATTGCTATTCTAACTGCATATTTCATTATAATTTGCAAATAGAATGAAAGATAATTCTTAATTTGCCAACATAATGCAACTCTTTCATTGGCTGTTCCGTTGCAATGTCTTCTGGTGTCTGATAATTTTGATTTCATTTTACTCATCTTTCAAATGATTTGACTGTTCAGTAATCGCAGTTGTAAAGTGTATGTGTTTATATATACATAAAAATGTCTTAACAGTATGTACAAATATAGAATTTTAAGTAACTATGTTTGTTTGCATTCTTGGTTTTTTTTAACTTTCAAATTTAAAATATTTCATTTTGTTATGTATATGTTTTTTAGAAATTAGTATAAAATATTATGACTAGCATAATTGAAGTTCAGCATCTTCTATGTGCTGTTATATTCTTCCATTTTATAAGTAATGCACCCACACAACATCTTTGTTCTTATGTATAACAAAACAGCTCCTAACAGGGGAATAAGGAAAATCCATAAAATTTTCTAAAATGTAATGATTGACTATAAAAATCCATGTGATGATGAGGAAGGAGCAATTAAAATCATTTGAGTAGATCTTGAACAGGTATTTTCTAAAAACAAATTAGTTATGAAAAAATAATAAAATTATTTTTGTTAAATTTCAGTTATCTGTCATTCATTTTATGTAATTAAATTTGTTTTAAAATCTTTTTGAAAGATATTATGATGTACCTTAAAAAGGTCAAGCATTCATAACTCTATTTGAAATGTGAATTTGTCTCATAGGGGTAAAATTGTGACAATCGTGTATAGTTAATTAGCCTATAGTTAAAATTTTGACATCATAAAATAAATGCAAGGTATTTATTTTTGCTTATGCATGTTTCGTCTCTGTAACAAATATCTGAAAGAAATACATATTCTTAATCCATGCAAAACAAATTGCATAGTTAAATTTGATATCTGACATATGTATTTCATAAAATTTTATTAATAATATGGTTGAAATAATGATTTACAGTGGTCACCTTGTAATGTTGTAACGAATATTTCAGGATTTATCAAAAAAAAAAGGGGGGGATATAAATGAAATGACATTTAGTTACTTTCATCCCTTCTTCAACAGGACTGTAATCCTTTCCATATGACTTATAAATGATGCTGAAGGGTTTTTACCCAAATGAGGTTAACAAGACAAATTATTTCCAAGTGAAAAAAAAAAAAAAAAAAAAGCTAAGCATGTACTTGTGATTTTGCACCAGTACTCTCTTGCATTGCACTTCTTGATAGTGAACCACAGCTCGGAAAGCAGAAGAAAAAGGAAGATACTATACCACCAACACCATATGCTATTAGTTCCTATAAACAGGAAAGAAAAAATAAATTTATTAATAAATGTTACAAAGTATTGACATTGAATAAGATAAATAATGAATACCATTTAAAAAAGTATATAGAGTGGTTTTCAACCTTTTTTTTTTTTTTTTTTTTTTTTTTTTTCCATGTACCCCTTTTACCGTTAAATGATCATTCCCACTCTCCTTTCCAAACTTGAAAAATACATATACATTTATTTAAGTGTATATTATTTTTTATCATGTTCCATAAATTAAACAAGAAAAACATGGAAAATGGTTTTAATACCAAAATTTGAATAAAACTTTTTTTTTTATATTCATAAACTAAATATCTGATGATATTCACGACCTGGTTGAGAATCTCGGTATATACATTACAAAGTTTGAAATCCAGGACATCCAATATCTGTAATGATCTAATACTCAACTCGTTGGACCACCAAGATTTTTTTTATTTATTTTATTTTTAGAAAATTTAGGAATGAAGAATAGGATATTTCGGGAAAAGCATGAGTGTCATAAATGTAGTTTCCTTCCAACTTGGATTCCTGTATATCACTTTTAAACACCTGCTTCTCGGGGAATTTCACCATCCTAGCTAGCAACAATACTTTGATTGACATTAGCTATAGCCATACTTTCAGCCATTGAGTGATTATGGAGATTGACAGGGTAATTTATTATCTGACCTAAACCATAAGTTAAGCCCTAATACACAGTTGTTTGGAGTGAGGTGTTGCTAATACTGGTTTTCTTTTGTTAGCATAACAGCAGGAAGAGAGAAAAGATTAAATTCGGAAGAAATTCAGTTAAATAGCAAAATGCATTCTTTAACCAATTTATTCCAGCTGTTTTTTCCCCGTCCAGGCTAATATTATTAGTAGCTCTCTTTTCAAAATTAAAGTTCTGATTTTTGATTATTTCAAAAAGACTTTCTAATACTGGAGCTGTCTTGGGATCTGCAAAAGAAAAAAAAAAAAAAATATATTTAGCATTTGTCTTCTGTAGAGGTCTGTAGAGGGCTTAGGAAAGTGTGATTTCAGAATAAGACAAAACAGCAGCCTTATTTTGGTATAGATTTTGAATGCTACAAAAAGCAAAATTTTCCTATTAATTGAATTTGTGAACACGTGATAATAAATAAAGATAATATAACAAAAGTTTTTCATTGAGACGGTGATGCTAAATCATCAAGTGACTAAAGGGCAGCGAAATCTGCAATATGGTTTCAAATCCAGAAGATATTGCTCCTGATAGTCACAAAGAGATTTTTGAGAATGAAAAGATTTTGAATGACAATTTAGAGGGAATTCTTGGATGGCAATTATAGGACTTTGCACCTGAACAAGAAATTATGGGAATATAGAAAATTAAAGAGAAATTATTAATATAAAAAGAAACAGTTTTTAAAACTTAACACTGAAAGAAATGTTTAATAAAACAAAATAATAATTGAGCTTTGACTGTAAATTTTGAATTTTTTAAAGTCTTAAACAGTTCATTATTTCACAAAAACTATTTTTATTTTTAATTGTATAATCTCTACGTGGCATTTTAGTAGATTTAAATTGATGATCTAAAATCCGGAATTGCCAGAGTCCCAACAAGTCAGACTTTGTACTGTAGTCATAATATTTTATGCTAAATTTTGCTACAGTGTTTTTTAAAAAAACCTTGTTGTAATCAAATTAAAATTTATCTCGTATATTTCAATTTCAAAAATACATTTTTAAAACAAGCATATTTTTTTTTTCAATTATCATCCTTATTTGAGAATAACACATAACAATTGCTCTACTTTTACTGGTTTGTTTTCATGTATTCAAATTTCTATTGGGTTTTTGTATGGATTATTTGTATGGATAGTTTTATATCCGTATTGTGTTGCTCTTTTTTTGGGGGGGAGGGGGTCTCATTATCACTTTAAAGTTTTGCAGAAAATAGAAAACGTAGTGTAAATTATTATTAGAAATTTTGAACAAAAATTAGAGCAACTAATTATCATAAAACTCAGAAGGTAAGGAAAAACCTAAAGAGTTTCCATGTAAATTGCATCATGTATATCAAGGAGTATCATCAGAGGTATTAGAAATGCAATGACATTTAAATATTAAACCTATTCTTGCAGAAAATACACTTCAATAGTAACATGGAAAAAAGTTTCCTAAAAAATAACATTATATACAGTCAAAAGTCTTTAATCCGGACTCGTCGGGACTTCGGCGATTCCGGATTATAGATCATCAGTTTAAATCTGGTAAGATGGCATGCAGAAATTATAAAATTAAAAATATGAAACCGTAATTTATAAAATAATGAGCAATTATGATCTAAAGGGTATCAAAATTTACAAAAAAAAAAAAAGCTTAATATTTATTTGTTTACTTTATTAAACATTTCTTTCAACGCGCGCATGCGTAAAGCATACATTATGCATAGCTGAAATTAGAAAATTGCAACCAGAAAACTATTTGATTTGTATTCGTGATATTTATAATGACGAGGAATTTGATTTAAATCATATCAAAGACGAAGTACATCGAGATGAAATACTACATTTAATAAGGAATTATAAGCCGAATAAAATAAAAACATCTGCCCTGAAGACAACGATAGTGTTGACAGATCAACTTCCAGTTCATTGCGCGCCGCCACGTCCCCCCCCCCCCGCGCAGAGCAGCGTGAAATTGATAAACAGATTTCGGAACGGTCAGATAAACAAAGGATATGCCTTTATCCATTTTTTGGAGCAATTGCACTTTTTGTTTGATGGACATCGAAACGGGCATCTTTCGTTTTCGTAGATCCTTTGGGAACTCCAGCATCGGAAATTCTATTTGACATAATCGAAAGTTCAAGCTTACTTTTATAAAATTGCTCTTACAGTCTGCAAAAAATAATAAGCCGGATCCAATTCGAAGATTAAGGAACAACGCAATCATCAACATTAACTGAAATAGACAATTAGATCATTTTAGCTTATATCGTCCGTTATACATTAAACGCGCAGCCAAAACGTATTCTGCGCTTGTGCACACGCAAATTCCCAGTCGTAAAGGTCTTACGAGCACGCTTAAACGCCTATGCGCATGCGTCATAGCGGCGCATGCGCAGAAAGTTTTTAGCTTTGAGGTCCGGATTATGGGTGTCCGAATTAACGACTTTTGACAGTAGTAAGAAAAATGTGTGATTGGATAGTTGTATCAAACAAATGCATGTTTGAGGAGATAGAGATGGAAGTTTTAATGTGTCTCAATTACAGAAAAGGAGTGGTAGATGAAGAATTACAGGATTTATTACATTTATTTTTATTAGGCTGCTGTTATAAATTAAAAGAGCAATATGTTATTAAAGAAAAGCAATGACTGTGAAAGTCTAAAGCAAGGGTTTATTTAAACAATTATTTAGGAAATGCACATAAATCATTGCAGAGAAATATATTTTATGTTCTTGAGGCCATTTTTTCCACTCATTCCAAAGAAATTTTGTACCACAATTCTTCTTCTGTAATAATCTTAAGACCAAGACGTGGCTTAATTATTTCATTTCAAAATTAAATGTTCCAGTTATGATTTTATTTATGATGATGATTATGATTAAATATGCCGCAAGGATTTCTCTCTTTAATCAACGATATTCAAAAGGTATCATAAACAACAAAGATGTTTTTCCTATATTTTCAAATACAGTCAAAAGTCGTTAATCCAGACTCGTCGGGACTTCGGCGATTCCGGATTATCGATTTTTCCGAATTATAGATCATCAGTTTAAATCTGGTAAGATGGCATGCAGAAATTACAAAATTAAAAATATGAAACCGTAATTTATGAAATAAAGAACAATTATGATCTAAAGGGTATCAAAATTTACAAAAAGAAAAAGCTTAATATTTATTTGTTTACTTTATTGAACATTTCTTTCAATGTAAGTTGCTTCGTTTCATGTGATAATACTTTCTCTTTAATTCTATTAAACAGACATAATTTCTTGTTTAGTTACAGAGTTCCGCTGTTCAAGTCCTATAATTGCTGTGTTGAGAATACCGACTAATTTGTCAATCGAAATGTTTTCGTTTTCAATAACCTCTGGGTCACTTTCTTCACTATCGGAAGCGAATTATAATGAGGAGGAACTTGATTTAAATCATATCAAAGACGGAGTACATCGAGATGAAATACTACACTTAGTAAGGAATTATAAGCCAAATAAAATAAAAACGTCTACTCTGAAGATAAGGATAGTGCTGACAGATCAACTTCAAATCCGCGGCGGGAAATTGATAAACAGATTTCGGATTTCAAAACATACTTTCGCTTTGTAGATACAAATTACATATTAGTAAATATATATGGGAAATTCTATTTGACATAATCGAAAGTTCAAGCTTACTTTTATGAAATTGCTCTAACAGTCTGCAAAAAATAATAAGCCGGATCCAATTCGAAGATTAAGGAACAACGCAATCTGCAACATTAACTGAATTAGATAATTTTAGCTTAGCTTATACCTCCGTTACACATTAAACGCGCATGCGCATAAACATATTCGCAGCCGTAAAGGTCTTATGCGCACTTACAGAGCAGATGTTTTTATTTTATTTGGCTTATAATTCCTTACTAAATGAAAGCGACGCATGCGCAGAAAGTTTGAGGTTTGAGCACTATCCTTATCTTCAGAGCAGATGTTTTTATTTTATTTGGCTTATAATTCCTTACTAAGTGAAAGCGACGCATGCGCAGAAAGTTTGTAGCTTTGAGGTCCGGATTATGGGTGTCCGAATTAATGACTTTTGACTGTATAGATGTGACTTCAGATAAAAATTTTCTTGCTAGAAATGTTTAAATGAATTTCTATAATGTAAGCATTATAATAATTAGTAAAGGAGCTGCTTTAATCCATTTCCGCAAAGGTGAAGAGGCTGCAGCATAAATTGTGATTTCTGTCAGCAATGGAACACAGCTCCATTGCATTGTGCTGATTTTATAAGCACTGGAATATTTTAAAATGCATGAGAAGATACATGCATACCTAAGTGAAATTAAATTCAAAGATGTTAGAATGCATTCTGTAATAAATCTTTATTATCATCCTTATTTGAGAATACCTAGTGCTAACACTAACAGGGACTGATTTGAATCATTTCTGCGTTTTTTTAAATGCAAAGAAATCCATTTTTCTTGAAACCTCATGCAAAAAAAATCACTTAAACTAGTAAAAATTTTGAAAAAAATTTAATCATATTTCTTAAAAATTTACCTGGTTTGTGTCCACTTCATATTCATGCTTTTTTGCATATATGAGAACCATGGAGAGTGTTGTTGCAGCACAAATGATTGACAAGATCATGCTAGATGTGAGAACTTTTGGAACGAGCTCAAATGGTGGAAGCTCTGGAGCTTTCAATCTAAACAAAAAAAAAAAAAACAAAAAAAAAAAAAAAAAAATATTCATTCCTTTATTATTATACTACAGTATATATTCATAAGTATATTTCAATATATATAATCAATATTACAAATATACATTCATTTTTAAAGATAAACATTTTGTGGTTTCTTTGTAAATATATGTCAAAAAATTAACTTCATAAATAAGGATATCTTACATAAAGGAAAATAAAAATTCTAATACTGTCAAAAGTCGTTAATTCGGACACCCATAATCCGGAATGATCTATAATCCGGACCTCAAAGCTAAAAACTTCTGCGCATGCGCCGCTAATGACGCATGCGCATAGGCGTTTAAGCGTGCTCGTAAGACCTTTACGACTGGGAATTTGCGTGTGCACAAGCGCAGAATACGTTTTGGCTGCGCGTTTAATGTATAACGGACGATATAAGCTAAAATGATCTAATTGTCTATTTCAGTTAATGTTGATGATTGCGTTGTTCCTTAATCTTCGAATTGGATCCGGCTTATTATTTTTTGCAGACTGTAAGAGCAATTTTATAAAAGTAAGCTTGAACTTTCGATTATGTCAAATAGAATTTCCGATGCTGGAGTTCCCAAAGGATCTACGAAAACGAAAGATGCCCGTTTCGATGTCCATCAAACAAAAAGTGCAATTGCTCCAAAAAATGGATAAAGGCATATCCTTTGTTTATCTAACCGTTCCGAAATCTGTTTATCAATTTCACGCTGCTCTGCGCGGGGGGGGACGTGGCGGCGCGCAATGAACTGGAAGTTGATCTGTCAACACTATCGTTATCTTCAGGGCAGATGTTTTTATTTTATTCGGCTTAAAATTCCTTATTAAATGTAGTATTTCATCTCGATGTACTTCGTCTTTGATATGATTTAAATCAAATTCCCTCGTCATTATAAATATCACGAATACAATCAAATAGTTTTCTGGTTGCAATTTTCTAATTTCAGCTATGCATAATGTATGCTTTAACGCATGCGCGCGTTGAAAGAAATGTTTAATAAAGTAAACAAATAAATATTAAGCTTTTTTTTTTTGTAAATTTTGATACCCTTAGATCATAATTGCTCTTATTTTATAAATTACGGTTTCATATTTTTAATTTTATAATTTCTGCATGCCATCTTACCAGATTTAAACTGATGATCTATAATCCGGAATCGCCGAAGTCCCGACGAGTCCGGATTAAAGACTTTTGACTGTAATATGATGATGATTAAAATGTTAGTTGTATGAAGTAGTGTAAGAACTTTGTGACAAAAATATGGAAAACAGCAAAGATATATATGTAATAATTTAACCTACCCTGTTGGTGTGGACCCAACAACATCAACATCACCATGTGTATGCAAAGAGAGATATTTGGAAATCAAAGTACCAGAAATTACCTAGAAAAGGATGGCATGATTTCATATGGGAAATGAAATACTGATGTATCATAGCTGAGTATTTATATTTTTAATTATTTGCCAAATATTATAATATGTACCAGTATAAGTTCAGCTGGAACAGGAATTTTTGATTTCTTCAAGCAGATGCCATTAATAAATTCCTTAACTACAATTAGAAAGAGAAGACTGCAGATGGATAGTAAGATAACCACATACTTCACTGTTTGTATGTTACTGAAGAAAGAAATCCATGTCTGCAAAATAATTTTAAATTCTAGTAATATTGATTAATTTTTATATGGTGAGAGTATAAACATTATTGACAATGTATGCAATTCATCATTTTCTTATGAGTATAGAAATTGTAATTAGCAACTTACAATGATAACATTGAATGGCCCAGAGTGTTTCAGAATCTCGACACCAGTAAGAGGCTTGATTTGACTAGTAAGAATATGGATGACAGTTCCTGTAATGAATGCACTGATCATCTCGTCTGACATAAAAGAAGTCAAGTATCCCATCCGGCAAAGACCCATAGCCGTCTGCGGAAAAGTAATCAGTCCAGTTATGAACTCACATAAGCTTTTGTTCTTTATTGATGTTTGAATAAATTTCTCATAACTTGCATGAAATATAAAGAAGGTAACACAATATTTTAAAAATATAAACATTTAAAATCTTTGTTAATTACTGAATATCGATCATTTTAAACGATTATTTTATTAATATTTTGAACCTTGAAATAGAAAAACTGGTTTCAAATTTTCCTTTATTTTACAATAATTTATGTCACTTGTGTTCAATGATTCTACAGTGGAAATATTTTTTAAAATAGTCCTAAAAATACAAATTTCTTGCAGTTTTATATTGTGTTTTGCTATCAGCAGGATCTCTAGGATTTTGTTAACTCTGAAAAGTAATAATTTTATATCAAATGCTGATATTAAACTTAAAGCGTCTGCTGTAATGTGAACTTAGTGTGATATAAAGAGGATATTTTCAATTAGCAGCCCATAAGGTACAGTGTTGTCCTACATTTGAAAAGCATTACAAAAAATGAGTTGGCATTGGCCATTTAACACATATTTCATAACCACCACCACATATTATACCTTTCGCTGGGGTTAACAAAAGAATTATTACCTGTTTCTCTAATGCATCTATACCAATAACTGCTATATATAATATAAATAATTGTTTTTACTTTTTTCCCAATATATTTCCTGTTGTACAATGTCATACCTTTCCCTGTTAGAATTGCATGGAAATTTCTGTTTACTAAAATTCTTCTCCCTTTGAATAATATAAATAGGTGTACAAATGTTGTTGTCTATCTACTCATTAGTTAAAAATTATACAGAGCTAAAAATACACTTTAATTACAATCATCCTGTATGTAAAGTACAAGAAAGTAGGACATGAACACTTTAGATTTTCATTATTAAAATTCATAAATACTGTTTTTATATTGGGCTGAGAATTATCACAATGAGCTAATCAAAAGTGAAGTCTCGCATTTTGTATTCTCACAAAATATCTCAGCAGCATTTAAAAAAGAATAATGAGTAAGGATTATATATTACAGATGTGCTAATAATGAAAATAACTTTCTTTGCACTATCTGGTATAATGCTATTTTGTGAAGTTCTAGTGCATTTGGAATGATTATATTCATGTAAAGGATAAACAATGATTATAAGATTAGAAAATGGATAGTTAATAAATACCTGACCTGAAGTATACCAACAACAAATGTAATTATCATGGCGATGTGGATTTTATCATGAACTACAGGTGGACCCAATGTAGACATTGAAGAATTTATTGTTCCATTGAGCATATTTGTTTCTTCAGCCATAATTTTGTGATTAATGGTTTCTTGGCGGAATACGTCATCAACTTCTGTACCAGCCAGAAGACTAGAAATTGCAAAAGTACCTGAGAAAAAATAAATTATTAATATGCTTAAATCAACAAATATGTAACTGTGCATTGAATCCTTTATTGGTTAAGTTATTCTTTAGAAGAGATTTAGCCATATTTTTAAGAATATACATAATGAATTTAGTTTAAAAAATTTGTACAAGTATCTTAAATAAGTTTCAAGCATTAAATAGCTTTATTAAAGAACAAACTTGATATAATTTGGAAGATCTATGTCCATGATAATATATTTTGATTTACTTTCCCTGATGTACTATTCCACCCTTAATAATAGGCTTTAGATTGCACTGGAAAATGATACATAATAGTAATTCAAATTGCAGCTCTGTCAACTAATACCAACAGTCTATTGGCTGATCTCCTTTCCCTTATTCTTAGCAAGCACCATTTACCTGTTCTGCAAAGTAGCAAATACTACTCCACAAAAGTTTTTTCACCCCCTGTATTCAAATAATAAATGTAAAAATAATTCTCATTTTCAAAGAAATGACTCTTATATTGCTAATAGCAATACTAACTAGTTACAGATTTTTTTAAGTGCAAAATTCCTAGAGAGATTCTAGAGCAGATTTTGAGATATTACATTTCTTAGCTTTTATTGAAACTGTACATAACTGCTGTTTGATAACACCGAAATTTAAGTTGTTAGTGTTAAATTACTTAATAGTTAAGCTCACAAGGGCTTAATTACCTTAAGAGAAATGAGTTTTTCAGAGTACAAGGTGTGACATAGAAAAAGGAGACTAAGTGTGTAGCTTGAAAAAAGAGTGGAGTTGGCAACAACTGTTTTGGTGATGTCATCCCACACACCTCCTCAATCCATGCGGCCAGTTTCGACTTAAATGGTCACACCAGTTGGGAGAACGGTATTCTGCCGGAAAAAGTGTCTAATGTAAAAACCGAACAGCAAATCAACATCAAGTTTCTTGTGAAATTTAAGAAATCAGCCATGGAAACATTTCAAATGTTAACTGAGGCTTATGGAGATAAAACTTTGTCTCATGCACATGTGTTCGAATGGCATAAGCAGTTTTCAGGGTCAAGGGACAAAGCATGCATGTCAAAATCAAAATTCATGGCAATGTAAACTGTCTTCTTCGATATTAATGGAATTGTGATGATTGAGTGGGTTCCCAGTGGTCAGACTGCTAATCAACACTACTACACTGTAGTACTAAAAAAAAGTATTAAAAAGACTTTGTGAAAAAATTAGGGAAAAAGGGCCACAGCAGGACAATGCACCTGCTCACATGGCCCTATCTGTCAAGCAGTTTCTGACCATCAAAAACATTACTGTGATAAAGCATCCTCCTTTTTCACCTGATTTGGCTCCATGGTTTTTTTTTTTTTTTTTTTTTTTTTTTTTTTAAATTTCCTAATTTTAAATCTTGCATAAAGAAGCCATTTTATATCAGAAGAAGTTGAAGAGATTCAGGAAAAAAAAAAAAAAATTCCAGAAAGAGCTTTCAAAAACCTTGCTCCAGAATTGTTACCAGCAATAGTAGCACCGAATGCTGAAGGGGATTATTTTGAAGGTGATGTCACGGAGAATTGATTCTGCAAGTACAGTCAAAAGTCGTTAATTCGGACACCCATAATCCGGAATGATCTATAATCCGGACCTCAAAGCTACAAACTTTCTGCGGATGCGTCGCTTTGACGCATGCGCGTAAGATCTTTACCGCTGCGAATTTGCGTGTGCGCGTGCGCAAAATACGTTTACGAATGCGCATTTAATGTACAACAGGACGGTATAAGCTAAGCTAAAATTATCTAATTATCTATTTCAGTTAATGTTTGCAGATTGCATTGTTCCTTAATCTTCTAATTGGATCCGGATTATTATTTTTGCAGACTGTTTGTTAGAGCAATTTTTATAAAAGTAAGCTTGAACTTTCGATTATGTCAAATAGAATTTCCGATATATATTTACTAATATGTAAAGGATATACAAAGCGAAAGTATCTTTCGGAGTCCATTAAAAAAAGTAGAATGCTGCAAAAAATGGATAAAGGCATATCCTTTGTTTATCTAAACTTTAACGTTTGTTTATGTAAACTTTAACGTTGTTTATCTAAACATTGTTTATCTTTAAACACGGGGGCCGCGTGCAATGAATGGAAGTTGATCCAGCACTATCCTTATCTTAAGAGCAGATGTTTTATTTTATTTGGCTTATAATTGCTTACTCAATGTAGTATTTCATCTCGATGGTGTCTTTGATATGATTTAAATCAAATGCCTCGTCATTATAATTCGCTTCGGATAGCGAAGAAAGTGATAGAGGTTATTGAAAACGAAAAAAATTTCGATTGACAAATTTTAGTCGGTATTCTTGACACAGCAATTATAGGACTTGAACAGCGGAACTTTGTAACTGAACACGAAATATGTCTGTTATAGAATTAAAGAGAATGTTATCACATAAAAAAAAGCAACAAACAACTTACATTGAAAGAAATGTTAATAAGTAAACAAAAATATTAAGCTTTTTTTTTTTTTGTAAATTTTGATACCCTTTAGATCATAATTGTTCTTTATTTCGTAAATTACGGTTTCATATTGTGGGGATTTTAAACGATGAACAAATTAATTAACGAAAGACATTTTAATTAGACAAACGATTATTACATAAATTTAACATTTAAGAGAATTAAACAAGTAATGATTCGTCAAAGTTCTTTTTGAACAGAAGCAGCGTCTCTGCTTTCACGTCAATCGTCTATCATCTCAAAACGGTAATTCCCCTAATTTTTGCTTGACGCCTTCGCAGCTCGTAGAGAGAGAATGACGTCACGGCATCTGGTTTTCATCACAGCTCCAAGCGATCGGCACTACATTTCGGCCATCCGAGGGTGGACTGGCCCTCCAGGACACTGCAAAAAACAAACAAAAAAAAAACAAAGCAACAAGCAAGAATATACAATAACAGAAATAAGTGTTCGTGAAAAATTTTAAAGCGCCGTCCATTTCTTGAGGAATTCGGCACATGTGGTGGTGCATATGGGACCCTCATGGCATCCTTCCTTTATTACGTCATAGGTGTTGCCACCCTTAACTTTCGTGATCTTATAAGGTCCGAAATACTTCGCTCTTAATTTTAAGTGTGGTCCGAATTGAGTCCTTTTGATTGCCACTAAGTCACCAACTTTGTACGGCTGTGCTTGTCTTCTTTTGGCATTATATGTCTTTTTATTTTCCTGTTGGACTTGGAAAATTTGCCTCTTGGCTTGCTTTCGTAATTCTTCTCTTTGAGACTCGAATTGAGATTGAAACTCACTTTCTATCAGTTCTTTGAGCTGATCGGTGCCCTTACTGTTCATTTTAGTACCGAAGAGTAATTCGAACGGAGTGGTGTTAATGCTTCTTTGATATGTTGAGTTAAGCGTTCTCTGAACTTCGTGTGTATGTTTATACCATTCGGTTGGTTTTTTTTAAGGACAGTTTCGCTAATACTGATATAATGACTTGGTTGATTCGTTCGACTTGTCCATTTGCTCTCGGCAGGCCTGTGGTGATTAGATGATGTTTAATATCTTCTTTAGCACAGTAGTCAGAAAACTCACTGGATGTGAAAGCCGTTCCTCTATCAGAAATGATCTGACAAGGGCTTCCAAAAATGGCCTTCTGATTCTCTAACTTCGCTATCACCTCGGCTGAGGTCGTAGATTTTGTTGGATAAATCCAAGTAAATTTAGTAAAGGCGTCGACCACTACTAATAGGTGCTTGTAGTTTTTATGGGTACTTTCCAGAGGACCCAAGTGATCTATATGATAAGGTATGCAACGGAATGTCCTCCTTTGAATCGCGGATGTAAAAATCCTTCCTTTTTCCCTGCTTTGCGATTTATTAAGATGCAATGAACGCAATTCGCGATAACGTTTTCTATCTTCTGCCGAAGTTTGGGAATGAAATAGTATTCATCCAGGTGTTTCTCTGTATGTTTGATACCGGTGTGCCCTTTCTCGTGAGCATCTTTTATGATTTCAGTCTGCATACTTTCCGGTACGACTATCAATTCTTTACCGTCAATAAACTTGTATAGTACGCCATTTCTATTACAATAATTTTCATAACTTGAGGTTTTCAATAATTCCTTAATGGTTTTTATTTCAGTGTCATTTTCTTGAGCAAGTTTTAATTTAGGTAAGATATTTTCAATAGAAATGCATAAGACGTTTACAGGAGCTCTACTTAGAGCATCTACATGTGGCATTCTAACACCTTTACGATGCTCTATAACATAATCGAATTCTTGTAACAACAGAGCCCAACGAGCAACACGCGTCGCTAAATCTCTTTTTTCCATCGTCCGTTGAAATGCTGAACAGTCCGTCACTATCTTAAATGAAATTCCCAAAAGGTAAACACGGAACCTTTTCAGTGCTTCTACGATCGCGAGGACCTCCAACTCGTAACTTGAGTACTTTTTTCTCTGCATCAGAGGTTTTTCCTACTCATAAAATAAGTGGGGTGAAAACTGCTATCACCTGGGGGTTTCTGCATTAGAATCGCCCCATATCCTTCTATACTGGCGTCTGTGTGTGTAGTTCGGTTTCATAATTAGGGTTATAAATTGCAAGTACAGGCTTCTCAGCTAGCGCTGATTTCAAACGATTGAATGCGATCTTTTGTTCTTCACCGAATTCGAACTTATTACCCTTTTTTAGCAGGTCGCTAAGTGGCTTGGCAATTATAGAGTATTTATTAATAAATTTTCTGAAATACCCTGTCAGCCCAAGAAAACTTTGGATCTGTTTTAAATTAGATGGTTCAGGGAAATTTATAACAGCTTGCGTCTTCAAGGTGGATGGGAAAAATTTTACCCTCTTCTATGACATGACCTAAAAAGTCAATTCGTTTCTTTAAGAATTGCGATTTTTTAAAATTTATTTCCAATCCGTATTCACTCGCTAGATTTAAAACTTGACTCAGCCTCTCGATTCCCTCTTCGTATGAGGCGGACAAAATGATGATATCGTCCATGTACGGCAAAACGATGCCATCGTTAACTAACGGTCGGAAAATGGTATTTATGAATCTCTGGAATACAGCTGGTGAGTTACAGAGTCCAAACGGCACTTTCAAAAACTGGTACTGTCCTTCATGCGTAACAAATGATGTGTACTTCCGACTTTCCTTTTCGACGTCCACGTGAAAAAAGCCATTTTTGAGATCAATAGTGCTGAAAACACGTGCTTCTTGAAGGCGGTCTAGGATATCCTCAATCAGGGGAAGGGGAAGGGGAAATCTATCCTTTACGACAACTTTTTGTTTAAACGACGATAATCAACGCAAACTCTTGGTGTCCCGTCTTTTTTTTAACGATGACCAATGGGCTGGAATATTCCGAAGAACTCTGTTCTATAATTCCTGACTTTAGCCATTCGGATATTTGGGTTTCAACAATTTTCTTTTCCGCAAACGGTAATCTACGCGGTTGATGCGATACTGGTTCGTTATTTTTAACGAAAATTTTTAACTGTATGTCCGTAGATTTGGTCTTACATGGCATATAGTTCGAAACTAACTGTTGAACAGTCTCTTTAAAGTAGTTTGGAACACTAGGTGCAATGTTTATTTCTTCTTCGTTACTAGCTAGGTCAACAGGTAAAACAGATACAATATTTACTTTCTCTACACTCTGTGACTTACTTTTTATGGTAACCCCATTTTCATTTATTAATATTTCACCTTTTAATATTACGTTTAAGCCTAAAATGGCTTCATGTGTCATTACATTGTTGTCTACAACACAAATATCTGCAGTACACTGGAAATCATTAATTTTAATATTACCTTTAAAAAAACCTAGAGGTTTTACTTGACATTTACCGAACCCACTCAGCGTTGAACTTACGGGCACGAGGCCTTCGATATTCAGTTTATCAAAAGTCGATCTACGTAACAAAGTAGTTTGACTTCCTGTGTCTATTAACGCGGTTACATATACATCATTAATTTTTACTTCTTTGGTCAACTTCGAGACTACATCAATATTCACGGTTGATACTTCTGGTTTCGAATTCGTATTTGAGCATTCGAAACTTCGGTGCCCAAATTCTTTACATTTAAAACACTTGACTCCCTTATCTTTATGAACACATTGTTTGGAAATATGACCGCTTTCACCGCAGTTGAAACAGGTTGTATTACGTTTAATTTCAGGAATTGTTCCTCGACTATCGGTTACGTTACGCTTTGTTTGGTTAACAGAATTTTTTGAGTCATATTTATGTCTAGATTCAATTTTTTGTTTACTTTCAAATTTTGTTTTAGACGTTCGCGACTTTTCTTCATCATCACATATCTGTTGATAAAGCTTCAATTTGTTCTTAAAATCAGTTAATGTTTGTGACCCATACAAGCAAGATTTTTTAAACGCGGAGCCTGGTATACCATCTATAACATATCGTATTAAAGCAACATCTTCAATTTGACCATTTTTAGCAATTTTTTCATATTTAAAAAAAAACTCTCATCAAATGTTTCATTGCTCTTCATTTTTTGTTTTGATAATAACTCATGCAGTTCGGCCGAATTGCAGCTGGACCGGAATTCATCAAGAATAGCATTCTTAAAAACTTGCCATGAGTTCAACTTTGGTTCACTAAGAACAAATAGTTTTGCTTTGCCTGTCATCAGGCGTTTAGCAAAAATCAGTTTTTGTAAATCATTTAACTGAAGAATGGTAGCTGCATCTTCAAAACTTTCGACCCAACTACTGACATTTTCGTGGCTTTGGCCATCAAATTGAGCAACAAAAGATTTGATGTCTTCAATAGTAACATTTATACTACAGTTATGAAATACATTCGACTTGTTTTCAATTGTACTAAGAATATTATCATTAGCACATTGGGAAGGAAGTTGTCTCACTGTGGCACCAGAATTGTTTCTTAGTTTCGTTTCATCTCGAACATTATCATCTACTTCATTTTTATCCCCACCATCCACACCCTCTAAATCACTTTCGTTTTCACTTTCTTCTAAAATTACATTATTTTTAAGCAATTCTAAATTATTCAGATAAGAAACAATTCGGGTTGCTAAGTCATCTTGTGTGCCAGAGCTATCAATGCATAAAACATTGGCAATGGAAATTAATTCATAAGCCTGAAAATCTTGTTTGATTTTTTCGAGTTTTTCATTAAGTTCTTTACTATTCTCTTCTAAAGAGAAAACCACTAAATTGTCTTAACCTTTTTTCGATTATTTCTGTCGCCCACATCGTTAAATATTATTTTGTGTAATAATTTTATATTATGCGCTTTTTCACTTTTCAGGACATCTTCCATTCCCGGCACATCAATTAGAAACATAGTTAATAAAATTGAGAAAATCACTCACTTCATATAATGGTAATCCACGATGTTCCTGGCTCTATAATCCGGAAACAGAAACGAAACAAATTACTTCCATACCATCCAATGGATCACAAATGGTGTCGACAAGAGGCGAGTACAAACAGATTATGTCCGATGGATTTTTGGCCACAATTCACGTCTTGACACTTGACATCCAGTATTATTAAAATTAATTCCAGTCTTTAATAGAGCCGCACACTATTTACTCACTATTACGCAGTTTCAGTTCAGGTAAATCAGCATACATTCCTAGGAGTTTGATGAGGTTTTTGTTCGAAACATAGTTGATTATACATCGTAAAACAGTCCAGCACAGCAACAGTTATTCTTCAAAACCGGTAGTAATCCAGGAAAGCAGGTAAAACTACAGTTCATTCGAGTGCTTAATTGCTATCCCACTTCTGAGAAAATTTTTGTGGGGATTTTAAACGATGAACAAATTAATTAACGAAAGACATTTTAATTAGACAAACGATTATTACATAAATTTAACATTTAAGAGAATTAAACAAGTAATGATTCGTCAAAGTTCTTTTTGAACAGAAGCAGCGTCTCTGCTTTCACGTCAATCGTCTATCATCTCAAAACGGTAATTCCCCTAATTTTTGCTTGGCGCCTTCGCAGCTCGTAGAGAGAATGACGTCACGGCATCTGGTTTTCATCACAGCTCCAAGCGATCGGCACTACAATATTTTTAATTTTATAATTTCTGCATGCCATTTTACCAGATTTAAACTGATGATCTATAATCCGGAAAAAATCGATAATCCGGAATCGCCGAAGTCCCGACGAGTCTGGATTAACGACTTTTGACTGTACAATGATTTAATGGACCAATCTCTTTTTTTTTTTTTGTGTGTGTGTGTCACTCCTCGTATATCCAAAGAGAAAACTGGCACACATTGATGGTGTAACAAAATGCCCAGCTGTGGTAAGATAGCATCCCTGCAAAACAAGTTTAGGGTTGCCAGAAAATGGCAAGTAAAAGCACGGTTGCCAGATTTGGTGACAAAATAGGCGATATGCCATAGACACAGAGCAAGAACATTCTAGAACAAATTTTTACCGGTTTACCCCAGAATGTTGTCGAAGGCAAGTCAAAAGCCATAAAACCTTGCTTATACACAGAGTATTAGTGTACTGTCAAGTGTATCTTGAGTTTATCGTGAAGAGTGTGAGTGTGTTGAGTTCAGTGGTAGGGCTTTAAGTTCAGAGCTTAGTTTGAGAGCGATCGACCGAGTCGAGAGCTGTACTTCAGTGCTTTTCTGTGAAGCTGTCTTCACTGTTATAGCGTTGCTGATTGTTTCAGCATGTTTGTCGTAGTTTTTCGATGACTCTAATGCATCTTTGGAACTGTCTTGTGTAATACTGACGAATAAATTGTGTTTTGATTCTTCATTGTTTTCATGAACCCATAGAACGCAACAATGGTATGCCTTAGAACAGATAGAAAAATTCCATGCAGACAGGAAAAATTTAGAACAGAACTACAGCGCGCATTACATATTGTCTACTAGTAATATGTGTAACATACCCATAGATACATGTCGAGATGTCCCTAAGAAAAAATAAACTAGTACTGGATAAAATGATGTATATAAGCCATATACAGGAGGCAAAGATGCCAGTTGTGCATATGCCATACCTAAAAAAAAAAAAAAAAAAAAAAAAAAAAAAAAAAAAAAAAAGTGTTAAATAGTATGTGTAATTTGGAATTCATTTACAAATTTTTAAAGCATCAGAATATGAAGGAAACTGTTATAATAAAAAAGTTTTATTAAAATAAAAAATAAAGTGTATTATTATAAAGAAATAATCTACAGTTACATGTTGAAAAACAAGTGACCATCTTATTTTAATGCAGGTAATATGAATAAAAAATGTCAAAATTTTCGTTGTATATTCAAAACATTATTAAATTTTGTATCAATTTATACATACCTTGAGGTACATGTAAAATTAGTAATGTAAACCCAGTTAAAACATCTAGGAGTAAATCATTTTTGATACTGTATTTAGGAAGCCATCCTAAGACTGGGAATGCTCTCTTCATAAAATTATTCACACAGCTACAAGATACAGTGAAATGGTTCCTAAAAGCTGTTGTTACCTAAAAAATAAATATTTGTTGTCTACATGTGTAAAAAAATGTGTAAATACAGAGTATTTAAGACTGAATTACACATATATATTCCTTATAAATACACCATCTGTTTACTTAGATATCAGATAAATGAGAGCAATTAAAAATAATTAAAAGTAAAACAGTAATTTATTATTTATGAGAATTTTATGCACTAGTTAAGCATGTCTACAATATATTTATCTACTATCGATCTAGAATATATTTCATATAAAGGGATTTATTAAATTAAATATTTGAAATTATTTTGAAAATTATGAGAAGTATATAGAACTAAAAAAAGGGGATTCGCATGCAGAGGACTTTTAAAGGAAAATGGCTTATATTTATGTTAGACATGAGAAACCACAAAATTCCTTCAACTGCCAGGAACAGAATATGAAGTGAAAAGCGAGTGTTTTGTGGCTTCAACCAATTGTCTACCAATAGACTATTTGGCACACCCTATTTAAATATGGCAAATCATAAAACATAAATGTTTTTTTATATGAAATGTGTTGAAAAATAATAAAGAAATACCAAAGCCATTTTATATAGTAATTTATTTAAAATACAAAATGTGCTATTTGATGTTGAAACCGAGATATTTTATCATCAGTTACAAAAGATATAAAGCAAATAAAACAATCCAAATAAATATCAGGGGTGGGATGAAACAGCATGTTTATTAAAAATTTGAGTATGGAATTTTCTATAATTTTTTAGCTCCAAATTAAATCATGAATAGCTCAAAGAATGAAAAATATAAACTTTCTATAAATAGTGCAGCACAATGTTGTCAAATTTTGTGTTAATTTTAGTCAAAAAACAAAAACTATATATTTTTAGAATGACATTATTTCATATTATTTATAAACACATATCAAATCTTCTGTTAGTTTCATCAGACTGGTATCGTTTTCTGCAGAGATTGAAAAAAAGTTTAATGCAGTAGCATTTCCACTGAAAACAAAATTCAATTACCAGATTTGACAGTTTTGGACGTTTACAACAGCCTAGAAATTTCTGACACAAAATGAATCTGCTGTGGCACCAACTTCTGTATCTGTCAAAAAATCAGCTTGTGTATAATAATTTTTCCAGTTAGTCTCTTTGCTAGTTGAAATAGCCAATTCTGGAATTGTTCATTAGACTGAAGAATGGCACTAGAGACAGAGATTAAGACCTTTAGTGGGCCTAGAGTTAAAAAATAATGCCCTATATAATAAGCATAATGCAGACACAATAACACGCCGAATAAATACTAATTCAGAAGTCAAACAACAAAAATCAGCGTTAATTTACAAAATTTTCACAGGACTAGTTTCGATGGTTTTACCGAACCATCATCTTCAGCTGCAAAACCGCAAATGAAAAAAAAAAAAAAAAAAAAAAAAAAAAAAATGCAGCTGAAGATGATGGTTCGGTAAAACCATCGAAACTAGTCCTGTGAAAATTTTGTAAATTAACGCTGATTTTTGTTGTTTGACTTCTGAATAAGCATAATGCATTATGTAATAAAACTTTTTATGGCTGTCCCCTTTTGCTTGATGCTCTAAGAATGTGTTTATTTTATTTAATGATTAATCCAGTTTTGCCCTCATCCATCTTTATTTAAGTGCTTTTGATTTTACACTCAATTCAAATCTGTTCTAGAAAAGCATAAATGTTAAGTGTATTTTTTAATATAAGTAATATAGTCAAAAGTCTTTAATCTGGACGTCCATAATCCGGAATGATCTACAATCCGGACCTCAAATCTACAAACTTTCTGCGCTACGCATGCGCGTTTAATGTATAACGGACAGCAGTGGCGTAGCTAGGTGGGGCAAGGGGGGACATCTGTCCCCGGGCGCAGCATCCAGGGAGCGCCAAACTGATGGTACAAAATTTTAGAATAAAGTGTTTTCCATTCGTGGCAAACAGAAAGGGGCGCAAAATCTCCAGTTGTCCCCGGGCGCTGAAAACCCAACGACTTCATATAACAGGTATACTATCTCGTTGTGAAAACCTTAGCTACGCCTCTGACGGACAGTATAAGCTAAGATAAAATTCTCTAATTCAGTTAATGTTGCAGATTGCGTTGTTCCTTAATCTTCTAATTGGATCCGGCTTGTAAGGATTATGTTAATTTTATTAACAGTTAAATTTTATGTTAAAGTTCCTTTCCTGTCAAATTCTTAACTTCAACTTACTACTTCCAGCCAGAACGTAGTTTTGGAATTTGCTGAATATTTAATGAGAAGGAACGGTATTTAAACCACAAAGTTACTTACTGAGACAGAGAGAGAAACAGAGTTTCTGAACTACGCGCGTCTGCCTTTTTGGCCGCTCTCTCTCTCTCAAAGCTGTTATACGCTCGGCCGTACTCAGGCCCTTGCTAAGCTTCGTAGTAAAATACGTTAAGGGGCCAACTCTCATTGAACCTTGATAGCTTTGGCTATCAAGGTTCTTACTTAGTTAATCTTAGTTTTAGTTCAATTCTTAGTCTTTTAAGTTCAAGTCCAAAGTGCGGACTTTATTTGTTCACTCCCAGGCGGAGTTTTGTGAAATCTTATAGAAATAATAAAGGGTTATTTACCCTTATCTCTTGTTGTTTCCTGTCTTCGAACTCTAGCGATTATTCGCTTATCAGTTCCTAGGTTCCTCACTTCCAACATTAACTTAGAATTTCAAGTGAGGGACCTTACAGGCTTATTATTTTTTTCAGACTGTTAGAGCAATTTTATAAAAGTAAGCTTGAACTTTCGATTATGTCAAAAAGAATTTCCGATTCTGGAGCTGCCAAAGGATTTACGAAGCGAAAGCATGTTTCGATGTCTATCAAACAAAAAGTGGAACTGCTGCAAAAATGGATAAAGGTTTGTTTCTCTAACCATTCCGAAATATGTTTATCAATTTCACGCTGCTGTGCGGGGGGGGGGACGTCGCGGCCCGCAATAAACTCGAAGTTGATCTGTCAGCACTACCCTTATCTTCAGGGCAGATGTTTTTATTTTATTCGGCTTATAATTCCTTACTAAATGTAGTATTTCATCTCGATGTACTCCGTCTTTGATATGATTTAAATCAAATTCCTCGTCATTATAAATATCACGAATACACATCAAATAGTTTTCTGGTTGCAATTTTCTAATTTCGACTATGCGTAATGTATGCTTTACGCATGCGCGCGTTGAAAGAAATGTTTAACAAAATAAACAAATAAATATTAAGGTTTTTTTTTTTTTTTCCTGTAAATTTGGACACCTTTTAGATCATAATTGCTCTGTATTTCATAAATTACGGTTTCATATTTTTAATCTTATAATTTCTGCATGCCATCTTACCAGATTTAAACTGATGATCTATAATCCAGAAAAACCGATAATCCGGAATCGCCGAAGTCCCGACGAGTCCGGATTAAAGACTTTTGACTATATAAATTGATACTAAATACTTCATCCACCATTTAAATGATTTAAAATCAGAATTAAGGAGCAACATCCATAACAATCTTATTAGTACAGTCATTAATCTTTCTTTCTCAGAAAAAAAAAAAAAAGAAGAAATATTTTTTGAATTATTTACCATTAAAGTAAAGAGGAACCAATAGATTGCTGTAGTTTATTTTTTGTGGCTGTTGCTAGATTTTGACAGTACTTCATATAGGTATTAATGACACACTTCGAGGAACTTACTTTTTCAGGGAAAGAATTAATATCTTCAAGGGGTGGGGATATGTCATCTAAAAGCACTTGGGTCATAGCACTTCTGTCCACTTCGAAGCGGCATGGTATTCGAGTTCTGGAAAGGAAGAAATTTAATGAAATTTACAGCAACCTACTAAAGCCTAACATTACATACGCATCCAGTTAAGTATTTCAAAGTGTTAAACTGAAACATTGAAATTACAGTTTTGAATGCTTAAAGAAAATGGTTGTGAAAGATAAAACTTCTAATGTCTAAATGGTATGAATCAGTTTTAACTGAGCTAATTAGTTATATAAACCACACAGGACGCTTTCTTGAAATACACAGTATCTGGTTTACAGAAATTACCTATAATTCCTGTGTTTTGTTCCTGTTCAATACCAGGCTTCATTTTTTAACTAAGGATATTTTAAAAACGTATTGCTGGGAAAAAAATAAGAGGCTGAAGAAAGGAATTATATACACTATTATAACACACGGCATTGGATATCTTACTGTTTTGTAATATAAATAAATATTTGAGTTACATTTCACGGTGTTGGCTTCAATTTCAAAATCATCGAATTATCTTGACACATACAAAATCACTCAAGTATTAGACCATCTTCACTCATTTTGAATCAAGTACTAGACTTTGATATAAGGTATGTTTTGCGACAGGTCCGGCCTCAGCATCTTTGGCACCTTAGGCGATCAGTACTGTTGGCGCCCCGTATAAAATAAATACAATAATAATTAAAAACGAAATAGTCTTATTTACTTGTCGCTTTTGGGATCAAGTTAGCTGGCGCCCTTAGAGCTGCCTATGTCGCCTATACTTGGAGCCGCTGTGTTTAATGATAACGGTTGAAATATGTGAAACTTTGTTTTTTTATTTGTAAATACTTATTTTATAGGGGTTTAGAACTTTCTTTTGAGCATTTTTTTAGTGAGAAGTCACTAAATACCAAAATTGTCAGCCTCGTATTAAAATGAAACAGAGACGTAGCTAGGGTTTTCAGAGCCCAGGGACAACTGAAGATTTCGCGCCCCCTACTGCTTGCCAAGGATGGAAAACATTTAATTCTAAAATGTCGTAACATTAGTGCCCCCCTCTAGCTACGCCCCTGAAATGAAATATTAAACAGAGAGGTTCGATACGGCTACCGTAGTGGTGCCATCTATCGCCCTTAATTGGAAATGCTGACGAGTATCTAGCATTGAAAAGTTAAGCTGAAATTTTCAAACATGAACTTTCTTTCATTTAGGTTTAGAACTATTTAATGGCAAGAATATGCATCTTTTGCTTTTTATCTATTCATTTATTATTTTACGAGTATAATTTTAGCTCAGAAAGTCGATCATTTGGAATCGCGAAATTGTATTGTATTGCTGAGTACAGTGTGTTTTTCGTTTTTTTAATTATCTTTCTAAAACAAAGAATCAGTCTTTTTTTAAAATTTTACTTTTAAATGAGGTGAATTTTTCATTTGTTTCAGAAATATTCACCATATTTGGTTGAAAGATCTTGCTCGTAATGGCTAAAATATAACGGGTGGCCATGACTGACAGTGCTCACAGTGTTCTGTAGCGAGATCTATTTGCGAGAATGAAGCCACATTTTGTAGGAAGATGAAACAAGACGGGGGACGAAGGATTCCGCGAAAAAAAAAAATTAGTTCCAAAAGTCACCGTTAGGGGAATATTTGGCGCTGTATAATAGAAAATAGATTGTTAACAAATGCAAATCAATACGGAAATTACCTTTTACTTTGCATTCAAATGAGATTCAATGTGGCTGCCGTTGTTGTGGACCACATATTGCATTCTGTACACAGTATGCACAACAGCAGAAAGTAACATGCCTGCAGGAATCTCCCGTACAGTCCGTGATATGTTATCCTTCAACGTAGATAGGCCATGGACCACTCCTTGATAGACCTTGGACTTAAGGTAACCCCATAGCCAGAAGTCGCAAAGATCAGGCGACCGAGGTGGCCATGCAGTTGGAAAGTAGCGGCTAATGACTCTTTCTGTTGTGATGTTAACATAATGTTAACATACTGTGAGATATTTTTTATCTTAAAGTAAACGTACTTTTCCCCTTTCCTTATTTTCTGTTATCAGGTGTTTTGAATAGATTTTTATCGTTATTTGTTGATTTAACTCATGTGACATCAGATCACTTAAATTGGCACGTGACGTTACGTGAACGCAACGTAACCCCTTTTCGCTACCTTTGCATATTTCTGTCGTAGTATCTGTTTCACCCGTACAGAAATGTGTGGAGGGGCTCCATCTTGCATAAAAATGATTTCCCCCAGGCATTGTCTTTGCTAAAGTGCCGGTATGACAAAGCTGTTCCACATGTGGCGATATTTCTTTTCGGTAACAGAACAGGTTTCCGGTCCTGTCGGGGTAATGTTCTCACAGAAGAATGGACCTACGATAAATTTTATTCCGAATTAATTTGCATTTGTTAACACTCTATTTTCTATTACACAGCGCCAAATATTCCCCTAGCGGTGACCTTTGGAACTAATATTTTTTTCGCGGAATCCTTCATCTCCCGTCTTGTTTAATCTTCTTACAAAATGTGGCGTCATTCTCGCAAATAGATCTCGCCACTGTCAGTTAATTATAGCCACTCGTTAGATGCAGTCTTCCAGTGTAACACTAGTTTAGGGTGAAACTGCTTTGGTTTATGTGATTACGGCAAAGCCTCGAGGGCTATCTGCCTAAGGGGAGGGATGCCTTCGTGGAGGACTTTCTAAAAGAACTGGCTCGTACACACGTTACACATGGGAAAAACCACGAAAACGCCCTGCAACCAGTCCGTTCGCGGGATTCGAACCTCGGTCCAACCTACCAGTGTTCAACGACTTTACCACTCGGCCGCTGGTGGGCCTTAGGCTGAAACTGTATGTTTATATACAGTTTATATATATATATATATATAAGTTTATATTGCATTACAGAAAAGCTTACATAATAAATAATTTTGTGAGCCAAAATTTATGATGATAATTTATTGTTTAAATAGTTCCAAGAATGTAGAGATACGAATTTGACATCCCCAAAGAAGCCTTTTTCATCTGCTGTGGAAACTTGCTCTGACACTATAGCATAACTTAATGATTATATACTCTTCAATGCTCTGGTAGAAGTTTCAACAGTTGTGGTCTAGTTTTGCATATCAGTTTAAACATAACATTTTAAAAATCTTGGAAACCTAGTTTTATTTTATTTCTTAAAAATCGCTTTCCGGCATTAGAGAGTTTGTGCAATGTGAATCGTGTAGAAGCATATAAGTAAGAAAAAAAAAATTGGTATAATCTTAAGGAAAAGAAGTAAATGGAGAAAGAATTGCAAGCAAACAGAAGAAAGCCCCAATCTTCCGGGCTAAGGCGAAATCGCACGGTAGTGTAAATTGGCAGCTGAACAATCAGCAACCTGGTTTAAAAGAAAACACGAATCAGCCAACAGCAAGTAAGTGACAACCCATTTAGAGAGTAATAGTCTTACACAGAAAATGGTGTTTTGAAAGAAAATACAATAAATAAAATGTGAACATTTTTTATGCTTTAGTTGCGTATTCTGGTGTTCAGCAGGAATTTATCCTGCTCTTACCAGAGCTTATCACGGAACCCCACTAAAGGCCTCACACATAACGGCTCTTCATAATTGTTTCACCATAAAGGTGTGAACACTTGAGATTAATAAAATGAGACACGTTTTCTCTGCAGACTCACTGGCGGTGAAAGTGTGATGAGCTGAAGTCCAATCAGTAGCGAGGAAATAGTCATTTGAATCCTACTACGCAAACATCAAAAGTAGTAAAGTCCTGAGTATGTGCAAATTTTTCTGACTTATACAATCAATGCATATATACTTTTGAAAAGGCTAGAGGTGGTGGCTATTTTATTATATAGAGGCATCTAATAGGCACTATACCGGTCTGGTGGCCTTATATAATATGCGTAATTTAAGTCGATAACTTATATGCAAAGGTAGCGAAAAGGGGTTATGTTGCGTTCACGTAACGTCACGTGCCAATTTAAGTGATCTGATGTCACATGAGTTAAATCAACAAATAACGATAAAAATCTATTCAAAACACCTGATAACAGAAAATAAGGAAAGGGAAAAAGTACGTTTACTTTAAGATAAAAAATATTTCACAGTATGTTCTCGTAGTTTTTATTATTTACTTATTTTTTTATAAAGCTATAACGCAATGCGTAGTGTGGAAAGGTTTGCGTAAAATAATTTCGCAAAAAAGTACAGAAAAATATACTCGAAGTAAAATGAAGAGGAAATGCATAGCTCAATTAATAAGCAACATTAACGTTTCAATGATAGTTTTTTCTTGTTATATATACTAGCTGTATCAAATGGAATCCTACACATCATTTGGTTTATAAATGATAGGAAAACGCTGGCAATCTGCGTAAGGGAAAAGATGAAGATTATGAAAATTTTTCGTAAAGACAAAATTCATTACTTTTCAAAAAGATTTATGCTGTAGCGGAAATTAGAAGATTTGTCATCAAGCTTTTACTCCAGGAAAGAAACATTTGAAACACCTAGACATCAATGAATTCTGAAAGTTAATTTCTGAATAATGGCAATATATCATTCTAAATTATTTATTCTTTAATTAATGCTTAGATAACTTTACAAATTTAGCAATAAATACTCAAGGGTTGTCTCCTACTGGAAAAGATACTTTCGTGAAAGGTTTTCTAAGAAAATTAGCTTATATATATAAACAAAAATTGAATTCCTAAAAAAAAAATTGCATTAAACAACGGAGAAGCCACAGTCCTTATCTACAGCCCATTCAACTGCCGGAAACGTAGCCATAACGGAAAATTCTACTAATTCTGGTGCTTTACAGACACTTGGCATCAAATTTCTTTATTTGGTTTTAAACAGTGCATAATTAGATTGTCCCGAACAAAACTGAAAAAAATATTTGCTGAAAAGATTTAATTGTTAAATTTTTTGAAGTCTCACTAGTAACAAAAACTGCAGAATGAGGGACTTCGATGCATAGAACAAAAAGGCTCGGCAGAAGAGCTTTTAGCTGGTTTTATATAGATTGCATTCTA